ATATTTCGTAAGTTTAAACGTGGAAAGAGAGCTGAGAGGTCGAAGTAAACGTATCAACGAAATAACGTCGTTATTATTTGCTAGTTTTCAAGAGACACTTCGGGAGAAACCTCGGTAATGTTTCCCAGACTCATCGTCGACGTTTTCCATGCGTCTCGAGTATTATCGACGGTCTATACAAAACCTAGTCGTCGTTACAGTCGATTATTCATGGAAATGTCGAACGATCCATACTCCTTTAGAGTATCGAATGTAAATTGAAGTGTCTTTCTCGAACTCGTTCTATCTCCACTTATTGTTCGCAGTGGCAAGGCTGACGACGGCCACTTCCGAGCTCGAAGTTTTCAAGCAAGGAAGCACTTTATGTCGCACGACCAGCCACAAAGACTATCCTCGAAGAGACGTTTTTTCCCCCCTTGGCCGTGCGTCGATCAACGGACTCGTTTTCCCCGTTAATTATCGAAGACGATCGGCAACGTTCGAGCAGTGGAAACAGAAACATCGTTCAACACGTGGCAATAAAAATCCAATTTCCTTTAACCGACGGATATCGAGAGCCGAATAATGATTCGATAAACCCCGCTCACGTCGGGGAAAATAGTTCTTTTTTCGCCGTCGAGCGCCGCTAATGAATGGATCGTAAAAATATTTCACGCTAGATTGTATATCGCGGATCGGGGAAATAATTTATCGGCAAAAAATGGCATCGTATATCTGTCGATTCGGATTACGTGTTACGAGGTGGCCAGATATTCGATTCGCAATTTATTGGGCGGAAAACGGATCGCGAGACGACTACCTAATGCCAGTTAATCTAAGTTAATAGGTGCACCGATACTCCGGGCTGTTTTCACATCTGGCTGCGTGTGTAAACGTCGGACCTCCCATTAAATCGTGTCTGCGGAAACTATTTGCATCCCGCGGTACGGAAAACTTCTAATCAGCAAAAAAACACCACCTCGACGTTCCATGCACAACGATGAATCGCCATGAAATACGAAATTAACAATTTTAGGAAGCGTTATTCGTTATCGGGGATGTTCGTGAAAATTTCGTTCGATCGCTTTTCGATACTCGATTGCGGTCTCCTATAATAACTGCGATTCTTTCGCTGCTAATCGAGGACCAATAATCACCCTCGAATCGACATTTCGGTAATTGAACTTTTATTCTCTGCTATTATGGGAAGGAGTATTTGGAAAAACGTGGATTATCCGAACTAATGAGGAAACAATGTTTCGGATAATCGGTATAGGAAATAAATTCTATCGAAGAATTGGTAAAAATGGTGTAACGCTGCTTCGTACAGATTTTCAAGGCGAGCAAAAATTTATTTTACATTCTCGACTTGTTTTTGCACGAACAAGTACTTGTAACGCGGGTCGTAGGTGACGAAAAGAGATCAAAGCTTATGGAATCGATTAGTATATGATGCATGAAACAGCTTTTTGAACTCACTGCACGTCGTAACGGGTGGAGAGGTTAAAGTCGTTCGATGATTTTCCCGCGTCAACTCGGTTATCGTAACAGTTCGATCAACGTGACACGAATACAATGGCCCTTGGAATCCTTCTTGCGAGCCTTCACCTTCCAAAAGGTCGGAGACAAAACAGTGCAGATACCGGAGGACGCGGAATGTGTTTTGTTTGCGAAGTTACAAGATCCTCGTAGACGCCCGATCCTAAACAACCGCGATAGAGAACTTTCACGAATACTTTGCGTAAGATAGACGTCTCGAAGATAAATATATCGGAATTGCGTACCACGTTGCGCCAACGTCGCTCTCTTTTCATCGTAACGCGGTTGTAACAACTGGCAAACTTTTGCTTCTGGGAAAGCTATCGGTTGCCTGGAACGCGAGCTCCGCGAAGTAAGTTTCAAGACGCGGTGTAATTAATTGTTTACCAACGCGGGTTGGGTCGCGGGGATTCTTAAAACGAGCAACCGCCTCGAATGGAAGTAGAAACGATAACAGTCGCGGTAGGTCAAGAGGAACGCTTTCGCCGACGATCGTACTCGCGCTCCGTGCGAACGGACAATAATTCTATTCAATTTTCGAGCATCTCCAAGAGAAACTTCTTCGTCGTTCGAGCGCCTTTGGCGTCTACCGTTGAGAATTCGATCAACGTTCGACACGGAAATCGCGTACTCGTATCTCGAGGGGACGGTTCGCAAGGATTTCGTAGCCGCGTCGCGGTAAACAACGCGTGAACACCCGGAGTGAATAAAGCGACCTTGACTTTCCGGCATTTCCGGGCGGCGATGGATCTTGATTGCCTTCTGAGAGCCTCCAGAGGAAACCGCTTGAGGCAGGATCCGTTCCGGTCGACTCCGCCACGGCACCAGCACTTCACAACCGGTGGTTCGCGCGATCGAGGCGAGCGTGTCGCCTAACGACGCGGAGGAACCGCGCGGTCACGCGACTCCTGGATCGTCGGCCGTCGCCAGGGACACGAGGGCCGTGGAACGCGTTCCCCTGAATGAGAATCGCCCCGTAAAACGCGTGCACGTGCGCGTAACCCTCGTCCAGGGGACGCCGGAAGTTAATGCGCATCCAGGTGAGATCGGAAGGGGACACTGACACCGCGACGCGGAAAAGGAACCGAAGAACGCGGCTGCCCTGCCGGATGAATCGCTCGCGGCGCGGTCTGGGCGGTGACTGAGCGGACCGAGGCGTCTCGACGCACGGCATCTCTCCCACCCTCTTTCTCTCTCACCCGCTCTCTCTCTCCTTTTCCACCCTTTGCTCTCTCCACATCCTGCAAGCCTGACGAATACCACTTTTCGGTTGCTCCGTGTCCGCCCTTTGCCTTTGCCTTCGCCTTTGCCATTCCCGCCAGACGCGTAATAACTCTGTTATTATTTACATCGTCGCGGCCCGTTAAACGCGTCCTGAAACTGCGTCCCGATGCGTGTTTTCTAGCAATTTACGCTAATGTCTTCGAAACGAATTAATTAAGTGGACGGAGATATTGCGCGTGAAAGGAGAACGGCTGACGCATTAACCCCCTAGACGCTCGACAGTAGCTCTGCAAGCAGTACGGACAGAGTGGATTATAATAGCAGACCATTCGCGAAACGCTCCGATTCCACCGCGCGCAAGAGTGGATGGAGCTTCCCGATAAAGCTCAAAGGTCGCGGGAACCTTGCCTCGATGTTAATTTTATTAAAAATTAACGGAAACAACTGTGTCACATTCCGATACTGTCCCCGGGAAAGTAAGATGAAAATTCACCCCTTTCGTTTCGTTCCTAGTCACGATTCCGATTGATATAGAGTTGTTAGAACGACGTCGAAGCCCTAATTGGTCTTGGAACTTCTAACGAGCGTGGAACATTTAACATTAACAAATGAAGCAACATTTTCTCGGTTTTAAACGGCGGATCTCTCGATAATGCGCGGTCTCGTTGTTAATTCGTCAAGTCCCTTCGCCTTTGACCCGAATCAAGTTACCCGGAACCAAGTTAAAATAACATTTCATGCAATATGCACGGACCACCGAGGAACTCTAGAAGTATCGTGGAAACACTTCAGTTGATAATAATAGATACAGGAGTCAGAAGAATCGATTTGACGCAAGTGCTATTTTCTCCATGAGTGCTAGATAACATTTGCCAACTACCGTGTACTTATTTTCCAATTACCTGCCGAGTGTTATTTGATAGTTCCGCCCCTAGAACCCAGGATATTACCGAGCCGGGGAATAAAAGAGACTCGTATAATTTTAATAGCGCGACGGGGCAACTCGAAAAATATATTCTTTGTTCCGTACAAGTAATAAATAAAGTCCACCCTAAAATTTTGCTATTGGTTCGCCCATTCGTTTCCACGGAAACGCGGTCAGCTTGTGTTCCGGCCGCGATGTTTTTAATTTAATCAACCCAATAGCATCCGGGCCGAGTAAGTTATGCGCATGCATATTAAGCGGCCGTTTGCCGATTTTTAAGACCGGCTATTCGTTCTTTGCGTCGCGACTAATTGTTCTTGGAAGAATGGAAATGCGCCGGCACAATTCTCTTCCAAGTGTCCCCTTCTCGAGAGCAGAGAACACCGGGATGCGGTCGCGGATTTTACTCGTTGAAAGTTGACTTAGGTGCTCGACGCCCAGCACGGTTAAGGACGCGCAGTTAGGCGCCGAGACGCTCTTAATCGTTCTCCGTCGCTTTTGGCCAGCGTTCCTCGTGGCGGCTCGAGTTTGTATCGACGTTTCGTTCGATATTAAATTTGTGTTGCATAATAACCGAAATAAAATCAACATAACCAGTAATGAATATAAGGGCACGAAATTTCGAAACGATCGACATTCATCATCAATAGTGTATAACGCGCCCTCTGTGCGCCATATTGTCTTTGAACAACACCATGAATATAATGAATGAATTTATTCAAACTTCTCCTCGTTAGAATATAATTAAAAGTTCATCGTCAATAAAAAATAGCACACATATTGATAACGTTACTTAATAATTCCATACGAAACGTTTTCATAAAACATTAAAGACATACTTGTGTAGCTCTAAATATCAGTCTCGAATCAGTAGTCAGAAGTCAGTATCGAATTCATACACTTACCCACTCGTTGTTTTCATTTCCCTGAACAATTAACCCAACAAACGTTTCTTCATTCCTTCATTCTTCTTAATTATGATAATATCGTTTGCAAGACTTGTTAACGAATCGAATCTTGATTCCAAATGCTGAAAGTTCAACCAATTTATTCAAATGTTTCGTTTCACTGTTCACAAATTTGGCGGTTATAAAAGCTAGGTGACTTGAATGAATGTTTTAACACGTTTTTATAACGATTAACTCTGACCAACTTTAACTACTAAATTCATTGTCGTGTCATACACGTTTCACGTAATTTTCGAAAAACTTTTACCAAGTGTAAACGCTATTATATCGAGATTGACAATGAAACTAATTTCGATTCGAACTGCGCTAATACTATTGCGAATACAGCGCCACCTATTACTCCCTTTGGTACTTCAAACAACAGTCGCCAATCGTAACGAACTGTAGTAGGTCATAGAATGTTTAAGTGACAAAGTGTGACACGAAATGGCATCGAATTCATCTAGTAACAATGGTAAGCGAGATCCAATTGAGTTTAACGTTAAAATCTAATTTTCTACGATTTAAAAAATTGCAATATTTCGTACAAGGTAAGAAACAATGCCCCTTCATGGAAAAATGTTATCGCAGAAATCCAATCCATTTCAAAGAGATGTCACACCCACACTGTAAGTAATAATAATTTATTTCCAATGATTTTTAAATAAGTTTTTAATCGTATTAAACAAGAAGTTAATTTTTGTTCCAGTGGAAAAAATAGCCGCAAGTCAGTTAGAAAAAAAAGTGCAGGTACCTGATAACCTTGATTTTGAATGTTCCGACCGATCGCTTTTGATGGATCAGTTGAATATCTTGCAACTGGTTTTAAGAAGAGAGAAAGATAATAGTACATGCAGTTCGACTTCGACAACAGGTATGGGTTCTGATGTTAGTATTATATATTCTACGATACCGAAAGGAGATAGTAGTGGCGGTCAGAATTTAAAAGATAAAGTAGAAAGGCACAAACAAATAATGACAGAAAGGAGAGAGAGTAAATTAAAAGGTATGGATGATCAGGCAGAAGCACTTTCTAAATCTTCTACTAGTAAAGTCCACGTAATGAGACAGGAGCTTGATAGCCTTAAAATAGAAGAGGAAAGAACAAAGGAGGATGATTCTCCGCAAGGAATAAAACGAAATAATAATTTAAAAGATAATGAACCTGTAAACAAAAAATCAAAGTCAAATAATAGCGATTATCACGGCGATATTAAAGAATCTACTCAAAGCACGGATAAAAGTTCAAATAGCGAGCAGAGTTCTAGTTCGTCGAATTCCAAATCTTTGTTCAATGCTTTTCAATCGTGCAAGACCGCAAAGTCCAGACTAGAATTCAGAGAAAAAGCTATTAGTATGATGAAACAACGCGGGTTCGAAGTATCCGTGGTCGAACCAGGAAAATTTGACCTAAAGTATGCTTGTTCTGCGCCGTACCACATATTTTTCACAAGAATTCAGAAGTCAAAAGCTACGTACCATCAACAGTTTTCTATAACGTTTCCCGAAATTTTAGACAGAAGTCTAGGAGAGATAGAGTGTAGTTTACAAATCAGCTATATGGTCGACGTCGGGTGGTTATGTTTACAGTATTTGCTGGCTGGCCAGCGTCCCGATATGTTTGTTATATATGGAGAAAGAGTGGACACGGAGAATGTGGGCTCAAATATTACCTTGATACCTATCCAAATGCAGTCAAAATTCGGTTGCCATCATACCAAACTTATGATTTTAAAATATAAAAATGATGGCATACGAATTGTCGTATCTACTGCAAATTTGTATGTTGATGACTGGGATAACCGAACCCAAGGGTGTGTTGAATAATATTAAAACTTATTTTCTCGTTTGGGGGAAAAAATCGAATAAACAATTGGTTATATTTTCTCCTGATCAGAGTATGGATATCACCGCATCTTCCGCCACTGCCTGAGTCTGCGAATACGGGTGATGGAGAATCACCCACAGGGTTTAAAAAAGATTTAGAGCGTTATCTGAACAAATATAAAGAACCGATTATAACCGAATGGCTGGTTGCTATTCGAAGAGCAGATTTCTCGTCGATAAATGTATTTTTTGTTGCTTCCGTTCCCGGATCGCAGAGGGCCAGTGAACAGAACTTTTGGGGACATAAGAAATTAGCAAGTGTCCTTTCTGCACATGCTACGTTACCTGCGGACGCGCCACAATGGCCGATCGTAGCGCAAAGCTCTAGTATCGGTAGTTTAGGCCCGAATTTCGATAGTTGGCTTTTAAAAGATATAGTACCTGCGATGTCAAGAGAGACAACGTCTGGATTGAAGAGTCACCCGAAATTTCATTTTATTTATCCCTCCATAAACAACTATAAACAAAGCTTCGACTGTCAAGTAGGATCATGTTGCTTCCCTTACGGTCTTCAGACACATTCGAAGCAAGAATGGATAGAGTCGTACTTATAGTAAGTTTACAAATTTTAAACACTTACATTGTACAGGATGATTCTACCGTTGGAAGCTCCAAAAAACAGTCGACACCACAGCAATAACGACATCGCTCGAAGCGTGTAATCCGAAACTCGGGTTTGGCAAAAAGACCGGTAAACTCGAACGAAACTCGATATATCTCGAGTCGAATTTTGCCGAATACTTCCGAAGTAGTACGGCGGCTGTACGAATTTGTCGATTTTTTAGGTGCCTGAACAGAAGAATCACTTTGTATCTATGTTTGACCGTAGATTTTTATTTTGTTAAATATCTAATAATTTCTCTAGCCAATGGAAATCTACGCACATCGGAAGAGACAAAGCTATGCCGCACATTAAATCGTACACGAGATTTTCGCCCGATTTCAAGAAAGTTCCGTGGTTTCTGCTTACCAGTGCGAATTTAAGCAAAGCTGCGTGGGGAGTGGCTAAAAATTCGTTTATTATGAATTTCGAAGCCGGTGTATTATTTATTCCAAAGTTTATTGTGCGTAACAATATAATTATTTAATTTTAATGTTACGTAGGTGATCGTGTTTAAATATATCCATTTTTTTTGTAGACTGGATCAACGACATTCCCGATCCAAGAGGAAGAGGCAGGTGTACCGGTCTTTCCCATTCCATACGATATACCCCTGACCAAGTACGAGCGTCAAGATAAACCGTTTGTCGTGGACATATTTAGCGGTAGCGATTAGCGAACCAGTATTTGGTATCTGTACAAAATTGTCCTAATCTTATATTCAAATATTCGCGTGTATTTTGAAAAATATTTATAAAAAATGCAATGTACGTACAAACTTTTATAATAAACGACATATTAAATGCGCGCGCTGCCGCGTTTAATCGTTATCCATTCTGATCGTTAACCAAGTTAAAAGAAAAGATAAAGCGTTCGAAGTATGTTTTTGGAGTAACAGAATTTTTACGACATCAAAAGTACTCACGTCGCACGTGACTTTATTCCCCGATTTGAACCAGTGCCGATTTCTTGGCCGCGATCGCTCGCGGGCCACACGTTTTCCATAAAACATCAGTAGGAAAGCGTTTCCTGGTCAGAACCTCACCGTCGTGGCATCGTATTGTTAGCGCATGCCTCGCCTTCAAACAACGTTTAACGAACCTATGCTTGCTCTCCTCTACGCAGCAATTACACATAGTGTACTTTCGTACGTTTCGCAAGATGAGCCGCAGACTATCCAGATTATCAGTTTTCGATCATTCGTGGAACAAATGCGGGTGAAGGTACAACGAAGGGGGTAAAGTTTTCACTGATCGTGAGATATCGCGCCATCGATCAACTGGCCAAACAAGCAGGACCGATCTCAATGGAAATTTGCGATAAGAACCGCGCCTTTCGCAAGCTCGTAAAATTTGTTCGGTGTAATTCTCAGAAGTGCTGTATCGTCGCGGAGTGGTTACATGGTGTAGCCATAAAAAATTGAAAAGAAGTTATTGAAATCGACATAATTACCGACCACGACCAGTCTGTACATTAGAAAAAATTATTAAATTGTGTACACATTTTCGTGAACCTTCCGGACCTGTACTTGCCTTTCTTATCGCTTTCTTACTTATCTACGAGTTTCTTCAATAATTATATAGTAATGTAAACGTTACTTTTGGTCGGTAAACAGACGTGACTGCTTTCAGGAAACCATTATATTGATGTTTTGCGTGGTACTTTGTTATTGCAAATTTGTGCGTAGTGTCGACAATGCTAATACGCTGTAATCGGTTTTGCGTCACTTCGAGAGTGAAAATTTCACACCGTTCTCGTTAAAATTCTACAAAGGTGGAAAACGGGAGAGAGACCGACGTTACATTGCTCTGTTGCGATTGCAATTATGATAATAACGCTTCGATCAAACAATGTAATCGGCGAATCGTGTAACGATACATCAATAATAAATACTGGGGTTCCGATTTACGGTTTTTCTTTGCGTCATTAATTGCTCTTTAATGTTCTATGGTATTAAACCGACGTTTTATTAATAAATATCGAGGAAGCCTGCGTTGACTTTTATTATAAATAATCTACGTGGGTATAGCAGTAGACGTCACGTGTATCACGGATCAACGAGCAAAAACCCGTAAAGGACAAGGGTATTAATTTCCAATTCATTTTTGTACCCATAATCCATGCAACTTTTACTTTTACAGGAAATCATAACATTTTATTCCCCATCTCCGTGTTGCGAACAAAGGATCCCATTAATTTAATGAAATAATATAAAAACGAAACGTATGCGAAAGGAGTTGCGTAAATAGATAAAATTATAACATCAGAGTACTTTGTAAAGTATAAGCAAATACAAAAATACTGATTTTACTTGCAAATTAACGAATGGATATTAAAGATGAATATGTAACGCATGATTGGGAACGTAATTTTACATTTATGGACTAACTTTCGTATACGTTTCGATCAGTAAATTAGAATTCATCAACGCATATTTTAAGGCGGACAAAGTCGCGGACAACAGTTAGTTAACGAGTGATTGTAAAATTTACATTCGCTAATCAGGAATAAAATTTACCCAGCTTCGGCGATAGATTCGCGTAATAATAGATTCAGAAACGATTATCGGCAAAACGAGTTTGTTTTTTTCTCAGCGCCGTTAATATCTTTTTCAACAGCGTTTGCAACGCCGTCGATTCGGAATGGTAAAAATCGACACCGTCTGCGAACAACAACAAAGTTCGGTTCTCCATTAAACCAGATGCCAAGGATTCTGACGTCAACGCACGATGAGGCTTCGTCTCCCACTAGGAGAGCCGGCTTCATGGTTGGATGTCCTCGGCGCAGATGCGACTTCTGAAAAGGGACGTCCCGGCGCCTCTGACGCCGACGGCGACGACGAACTCGGGAAGACGTCGATCAGCAGTCCGTGAGATGTCGTCGACACGAACGGACACCTCCTAACCGCCCTCGTCGTCCTCGCGTTTCCGTGTGTGTTTTCGTGTGCGCGTTTCGTGGAGCGTGTGCTGACGCGTGAACATACTACGCAGACCAGAGAGCCACGCATCCTCGGGTTTCCCGGCTGGTAAATCTGCCGGCAGACGCGCGCGATCATCGATTCGCAAGCTGCCTTCGCGAGAGCTTGAAGAGCGATAGGGGAATCCTGACGGAGACCGGAACTCGCCGTTTCCATCGAGGAATCTCCGTACGAAAAGGAAACGTGTCGTCGTGGTGGCGCATCGCGAACATTTCGGATATTTTCGAACATCGTCCACGAACAGGGAACGTGACTCGCGTGACAAACGCCGAAACACCAGAAGGGGAAAGTATCGAAAGTAGGTTTCCCTCGAAATTTTGAATCGTCGCGTTACAGTTCTCCGTCGCGGTCCCTCGTCGCAACATAACGATTACCGGTATCGCAAGATGCACGCGGTTCATCGATACCTATTTTTATCGTCTTGTCCATCGGCGATCAACTGCCAGCTGGCAGGAGTCGCGCGATTCCGTCATACTCGCGTTCTAAGCGCTCGCGGATCGAACCGCGGTGTTTTCCTTGACTCTGTAGTTTTATCTCTTTAGAGGAATTAACGCGCGTCGCTCTGCACCGGTAACCGGACGTACGTAGCGTAATATTTCGGATCGTTATCTCGCGTTTCGCGTCGTATCGAGCGCTCTATTTCGTGACACCGAAACGCTGCGACCCCGAGTGAAACATTGCACGTGCACGGTATTAAATGTAAAACGCAAACATTCCGCGGAAGCATTAACGACGTTTGCCGGAGGCGTTCGGACATTCAGTCGTTTGTCACGTTACAGAGTGTTCGAGGTACCTCGGGGCTGATATCGCCGGTGCAAGGTGCACGGACCCTTCTGATTAGTCTTCCAAAATGAGACTGTTAATCGCGCGGCGGTACACCTGTGGTCTATTGTCATGCTAAACGCGCGGTGCAGCGCTGGATTCGCGAGAAACGAGCCACGAGACGCCGCCAGACTCGTCCACGAATCGATAAAGTGGAGCGTGGCTTCCCGGCGGTGGAGAAACTCCAAAGTCTGACCGCGCGGGTTTTCTTCCCTGGTTTCTGTCAGAGGGTGGAAAGGAACAAGACTTCGCCAGGATGGTCACCTGCTGGGTCCTGACCGGCGTCTTCGGGGGCATCGTGCTGCTCTACGGCCTAATAGAGATCCACTACTTCCTGCGCATGTTCTTCACCGTTTTCTTCGCGCGTTTCTGCAAGAAAAAGGTTCACATCCTCGACGAGACCACTGTTTACGGTACGTTGATCCCTTATTCTTAAGCAATCAACAACGGTCTAGTAATTTGCAATCGGCAAATACGTGCAAGGCTACCTTGCAACATCCAAGCTTCCCACTTCAAAAACACAGACAATTTCAGGGGAAAATATTTTATTTTACTTGCGATATATTCCTTCTGTGGCGATACAAAGAATCTGTGTCCTCGAATGTCTGGAATAATGTCGTAACTTCTTGCACGTGACAGTTAAACACAATTCGTTTGGAAATTCGTATTTCAAACGATCAAAGTCTGTACTAAATTTAAAATGTAACACAGAATTCTTCGTAAACACCAAGAGGTACACCTGGTATCTTCGTTAACTCGAGCACCTAAAGTAATATTGCTTCTTCCACGCTCGAGGATCCTTGAGCGCGACAGTTAAAAGGTTAAAGACGACATTTAAGAGGGTGGAGACTAGAAGCTGATCTCGTGGCACGAAAACGGGGATATCAATACGACGAAGTACTTTTTCGTTAACCGCGTTGCCTCTTTAAGCGCGTTGGTGTCGCATAATAATCCGCGCTTCGTAGGCGAAACGGTATTTGTCCAAGAACGCAAATACACGCGAATATGCATTTCGCGCTCCTTCTTGTCTCCACGTAAGCCCAGAATCCTTACAATTCAGCGACTTATCTTGGTCTCGTTCCCGTAAACCTTGACCTACCATGCGCGAATCAGTTGGCCGACCGGTTGCTCGTGTCGCAAATCCGCGCTAGTATTGATTATACATAGCGCTGGGGTGGCTAAATTCTGCAAAACTGAACCAGCGACGCCACAGTGGTGCCGTTTCCCGAAAATGCGGTAATAAATCAATTTTTAAACAGTATACCCACAAAGAAACATTTATGTTACGTAGTTAAACCCGATAGAACGTTCTGAATCTTCATTCCATTGTTTAATAAGGACCGAGACAAGATGGAGGTTTCGTTTTAGTCTCATTCTGAAGACTGATGTCTTGCCTTTATTCCTAGAAAAGGATTAGCTGCTATTACGCAAATTGCAGCAATAAACGTTTGCTCCAGTACGTGAGAATGTAAACTGATCCACATCAAACGACGCTCGCCACCTCGAAGTCGAGCGATAAAATGAAAATATTTGTTTATTTAACTGGACATATGGGTCATGATTTAGCATGATTTTTAGCGTTTTGAGCGTGTTGAATTTTCATTTAATTTTCTAATTAGGACTGAAGCGAGCTAAACGTTTCGTTTTAGTCTCATTTTGAAGACTGATGTCTCGCTTTCGTTCCTAGAAAAATATTAGCTGCTATTAGTTGCTATTACGCAAATTACAGCAATAAACGTTTTCTCCGAAACGTGCGAACGTAAACTGATCCACATCAAACGACGTAGGGTTTGGCTAGTATTATATTATGAACGAAAAAATATACGTGATCGGTCAGAAAATGTTTTTTACCGCATTTTCGGGAAACGACACAAACAGAGTAAATTTTTCAGATGGAATGTTTTGCACTTGTTCCGTAATCGTGATCCTTCATCGCGTCGCGGTGGTCTTCGGAAAACGTTCGACGCGAACGTGCGTACATCTTTGTCACGCCGTGTAACTGCCACGAGGAATAATAATAAATCCTCGGAGCGCTTAGTATGCCTGTATATTCTAACGAATGCTAATCTTTTATTTATTAGTCCTTGCAACGGACGAGGAAATCGACCGATTGCGTTCCATTACCGCGCGTTTTCGATCTCGCGCTTCTACCATCGAGCTTCCGTTCGATCCGATCGTTTGCGACATCGAATAAACGCGACAGGACGCGCGCTCACGCGACCGTATATAAATTCACGTGTTCTTAATCCACTAATGCCGATCGAAAACACCGCGCGCGTTTCGTAATTACGCCTGTCAAGGGACCGCATGATGTATGCTACGAATTTAATGAGGCTTCCTAGCTGGATGGAGTACCGGAAACCGTTTGGCTCTTACTCAGCAGTTTGCTCGGACACTCGATAGTTTACGAGATATTCGAGCGATAAAAATCGTAATTAATTCGGTGGTTCCACGAGTATTCGAAACATCGATAATCCCTAAAGCGAGACAGCCGCCCAACGATCCAAGTTTGGATTTACAATTATTGTCTGGTTGCTCAAAATAAAAATATCTCGCTGGCAAGTTTTACCCACGAGAGTCAACGACTCTTTCGGGAGGAAACCTTCATGCTAGAAATTACTTCGTCATTCCTAACTGCCTCAAGGTCCCTTATACGTGGCCCCCCTATTCTGCGAGTTCTAAAATTTTAACAAATTTCCATTCCCGTTTCCCGTGGAAACAAGTTTTTAGTATCTGACTCCCGAAGAATATTTTTTACAAACGCAGGCTTATGCAGCAAAAAAACTTTATTCGAGACTGTTCTGAATATTGATATTCTATATGCTTTGAAAGTACAGCAAACTAAGCAAATGGTATTCGAACGGTTGGATTAATACTCATTTGAATGCTTACTTCCGTCTGCTATAGATGCGAGCAATAAAACTTGCGGACACGAATCGAATTTAGAGGCAACTTTGTATCGTTAGTTGGAGGAATCGGCTCGTCAAAGTTCAATGCCGAATGAGAAACCAGACGCGGGCGACATTCGATCATCGACTGAGGAAATAAATATTTATGAGACAAGAGACAAAATAATTTGAAATTTAGAAACGTCGATAACGTTACTTTACATAAATTCAACAACGATCCGGGATCAACAAAAACTGTTTCTAATACATTTGCGTCCATATGAATAATCTGTCCGATCGACGCATTCCTTTTTTATTTAAATATATCTTATTCTCGTATTACGATCCCTGGATTAATGTTTGATGTTTCTAGGAGTTTGCACCACTACGGATGTGGACACGCTTCTTTACCACATGAACAACGCTAGGTATCTGCGCGAGTTGGACTTCGCCAGAGCGGATTTCTACGAGAGGACGAGCTTGTATCGCGAAATCTGTTCGCAAGGATCGGGAGTCGTGCAAGGTGCAGCGACCATTCGTTATCGTCGATTCCTCAAGCCTCTGTCTATCTTTAAAATAACATCTAAGGTATGCGTTCTCCCCGTTACGGACTTTGTTGGACTTTGATCGGTGTTCCCAGAATCTTTGCAAGCTGTTTACAACTCTATTACAAGGCGACATCGGTACTTTTCAGTATCGTTAGCATAAATTTTCAATAGTTTCCTGGAAAAATAATGGAGGCTGTTTCTATTCGAAGCATCCTGTAACAAACGTAAACAGCAGAACCAAATCGTAACCTTTCGCGTTCGGTTATAGAATCGTTCGAGTCGCTGTTCGAGCGCGACAGGTGGTGCTAATCAGCCATTATGATTTTGTATGCATTCAACGAGTGCGTGACGCACCGAAACTGAAAGTGTATTCTATCCTTCCCTATCAATTTTATCGCGGCGCATGCGGAATATATAATAAATACTCGATTGTACGGTTTATCATAAAATAAAGAATCGATTGTTTCGTTCCTTGTAAGCGAAACTGACGACGGTTCGTGACAGTCAGCGGCTAAATGGTCGTTGATTAGTTGCGCGTAATGCGCGGTAGGAAAGAATCAAATATACGAACGCGGAAGGAAAGTTTTTCCCGGTTTGCGTTCCTTGCAGATCATATATTGGGACGAGAAGTCCGTGTTTATGGAGCACCGGTTCATCACTCCCAACGACGGTTTCGTCAGGGCAATCGCGATTTGCAAACAGAGACTCCTGGACTGCAGCGCCGAGGCCGTAATCGGTTCCCTCATGGAGCGAGGCGTGAAGCAAAATGGAAGCGTAGAAGCGGGTGTAACTCAGGTGAAATTGACCATCTTCTATGACTCACGACCTTGTTCATTCCTTCTTTCGTAAGGGCTCGACGTGACTCATCGATCGTATCTCTGGAAAACTTGTGTATGAATCGGATATGACCGTCAATTTAAGAAGATTCATATGTTGCACAAGGTTTCGTAGGTGCAGACTTTGAATCACGTAACGATTGGAAGTTTACGAGAAACGTGAAACATTTTTAACGAATCTTTCTCGTGGATTAACGGACGTTTGCATTGCAGATACCGCACGTGAGGCCACAGATGCCACCGGAAGTCGCCAGGTGGTTGGAGAGCAACGAAATCTCGTCGGCGCTGCTTCGTCAGGCACCGGCAGTGACGTCGAACTGCTGACAAAGAGAGGACACGCCGTCAACCGCGAACGGCGTCGTCTCCACTTCCGTTTACGCGACCACGACGGTATAAGCACGATCGCTCTGGATCAATTTTTTCTCTTCGAGACGGCAGGGTACGAGCGATCGTTACGCTTAAAACTTTTATTGATCGTAGCCTCGGTCGTCGTCACTTAAAGATTGATTCGACGCGAATGGGATCGGAGGCGTGAACGCGTACAAGGTGTCAAAGAAAGTACCTTTCGATCAATGGGAAACAAAAAGATATAGAGTACAAAGACAGATAGACGTGAAACTATTTTGTTACACGACAGTGATGGTTTCCGATCGTGACGTTGCCTCTTTGCGCACGGAGAATAAACGTGTCCACGGACGAGTCGATGTTTCAATGGATTTATTTACGAAGTATATTACGAAAGGCTGCCGGCCGACCGTAGAACGGGATGCCAGAGTGACTTTCAAGAAATTTGCACCTATAAATGATAGAGATGTACTTCGATGGAGCTTCCAAAGCTTGAAAGGTCGCCTTTATTGAATACTTTGTTAAAAGTTACCGCGATACGCAAAGCGTTATTTACATTTTTTATTATGTGCGTGACTGGCGTCGGTAACGACTCGCGTGGAGGGAAAGTCGAATACTTGTAGTTCGTCGCAGGATAGCAGAAATGGAACAATCTATTTTACAAACGCGTTGAGAGACCGGTGTTTATATTTCTATTGGGTGAAACGGAACGTTTTTGCGTTCTCCGCAAAATGGTGTTGGTGTAAATCTTTATCCGTTTTTTTTTTTTAAGTAATACAATGCATATTCGTGGCGTGCAATGAGGAAGGCACCAAAACTCACCTTGAAAAATTATTTGCAGTCCAAAGAAGCAATGATCTGTGTTGTGACTCGTTGGGTACACAACGAATAATTCATTACGTGTTTCTCCGATCCAGCCGAACGGTAATTAACAATGCTGATGAGCTCTTTTCCGCCAGGATAACGCTCGGTTCGATGTTAATTTATTAATGTCACAAAAATTAAGAATTTCAGTTGGAAAATTTTCTATTACTTACCATAATTGAGAAACCATTTGCATACAAATTCGAAATTAAAAAGTTTAATGATTGTTGTTGTTCGTCAAAGAGATTGCAAGGACATTCCGTTGTACTGAATAAAATACACTGGACGTGCCTTTATGTGAATCGTGATGGAACGTCGCCGTCCTGCGATTATCGAGCATTTGGAGTGTGATATTTTCAGCTTTATGACTGTCGTGTTAATCACCTGGCCAATTAATGTCGTCTTAAAGTCTTCTCATTACGTTTTTAGCTATAGAAAATATTTATCCGACGGCAGTCATATCGGCATGATACTTGCAACCGACTTTTTGAATTAATATGTATATTATTCGTTACTGACGCCATTTCTATCAGTGGATTTCTGAGGGTTACGATTCACCGAACTTCGGATTAAATCGGCATTGTAGTATGGTCATTAAGTAGCCAACGACGTAGCCAGTCTCGACAGTAGCATTGCGCGTCTACGCGCCCGGAGACGTTACTATACTTCTAGATAATAATAATATCACTGTGTCAGATAATACTGTGTTGATAATCATGTCGTTGAACCACTGTCCAGATGGAGCAATAAATATTCTTTAGATGGGGAATGCATTTTTATTCGAAGGTATTTGTTGTCGGTATCATCTGCTTTCAATGTCTTTAATTTGATGTTTAGAGATTATAAAATTGTATATGTGCGCACGTATGTTACCGGAAGCTCATGAAATTTGGTATGGTAATTTAAAAAAAATATTTGACGAGGTAGTGGGAGGGCAATGGAAAATTTTGTATTTATGTAAGTGCATATGTTGATCTCTTGCTTTGTATCTCGGGAGTGGTTTATCAGAAATATCGTGAAATTTGATAAGATGATTTCTATATATAGAGTACAGGTCACCGACGCCATTTAATTCTTTTTAACAAGCTTGTTGAGGTGTGGGAAGATATCGAATTGTGCGAGCCTCTGATGTACTTTATTTCTCAAAATACTATATTATGTTTCGAAATTAAAACCGAGTTTTAAACGTTAAGGAACACCAGGAAAGTTCCGTAGAATCATTGGCGATTTTTCGGCATGGATCACGTATCGCATGCATGATCATGGTTTGAATATTGCATACAATGTCCACGACCGTGTAGTGTGACTGTCGATTTCAAAGTAAGGCGTTGTAGGTCATTTTAGGGTCATATAATTATACTATCCAAGTGCATTTTAATGTAAAGTTCATAGTGCAAAAAAAAAAGGAATATTATACTTATACCTGAAGAAATATCAGTGTGCTGTTGAAAAGAGAAACATTGGAAAGGTATTTGTGAATTGACTTCTTTCAAATTTAACAACCACGTATGCATGCTATTCTTTTAATTAATTCCAGGACACCCGCGTGCTACGAAAACGCATCACGTTCGGGGGGCAATCTTTAATTTCTCAATTACTATTGAATATAAGTACAGAAGTAGAAAGATATTTTGATTCGATATTTTTTAGAGGGTTCTACAGAAACGGGGTAAAAGATTTGATTTCTAGCTCGAAAAGGATCGTGAAAAATAAAAAAAAATTGATGTGTCGCGGGAATTGTTAATACAGGTAAAATTCCTCATTGCTTATGGAACGTCCTAATACTTTGACCGCTTGTTTTGGATTCGGCGCACAAATACCGTGGCACGTTTACGAGGGAACATTGTAGGATGAATAACCGGTTACTACCTCATAGAGTAAGAAGCGACCTCATCGCTGTTTGGAATTTCACGGTGACCGCTCGCAGTCTTCTTCGGTCTGTGTATACGTGAACGTCGCGTACAACCTGCCCGTTCCCGTTCCACGTCTCGCGTTCTAGAACTACCACAGAACAATGGTCTGCGCGTGCCTGTTGACGATCGTCCTTGCCCTTTACATCCTCTTCGATGTAAACTATTTCCTTAGAATCGGTTTCACCATTGGCGTGGGCAGACTTCTCCACAAGAAGAAGAAGATATTCGACACCACCACGATCTATGGTAAGCGTTTCTCCACGCGTATTATTTCACATCGTTCGTACAGTGTGTTAAACTCGCGTCAATATTTGATTTCCTGCCACAGGAAGCAGTTATTTGTTCCGAGAGTGTCTTATTAATATATTTTCGGGAAGTACAGTGTTGGTGTTTGGTGCTTCGTGTGTGGTTGATCGAGATGACACGTTAATTTTAAATATCTATTTTGGTAGCCGGGAAAAAAGCAGGAGACGCTCTGATTAGTATCGTTCGTAAAGCGTACATGAATCCTTAAATTTGATACGCGTCATTTTTCACAGCAACAGTGACTAGCGATTCGTGTTTCTCGTATAATCAACGTCGATTATTACGATACGCACAAGTATTGTATAACTCGTTGAATAATATACGAAAATTATTCTGATTTCGGCCATTCAAGTCAATGACTTTACTGTTTAACGTAGTAATGAAGCTTTACGCGCTATGTTTACGTCACGTGACCCCGGACGCTGCGTACGTACATTCAAGATGCCATTATTGATGTCAATGAAGGGTCAGCGATAAGCAAATACGTTTCACCGGAACAGCTTTTACATTTGTCTGATAACGACCCAACGTCGATCATTATATTATTATTATATTAATGTTCATTATATTAAATTCATCGATCCATGCAATTAGAGCAAAGTGATCAGTGGTGGGGAGCTCTTGTGTTATTTCTCTAGCTTCTATTAACCTTTATCCTTTTACTATTCCTCTCCATTTAAACAGAAACTGACGTAATTTTTAATTTATGGACCAATCTAATAGATAACATTTTTGTTTTAGGAGTGTGCACGACGCAGGACGTGGATCTGGTCTTCAAACACATGAACAACGCGCGATATCTTCGCGAATTAGATTTCGCGCGTTTCCATTATTACGATTCATCTGGTATATTCGCGGCGGTCGCTAAAAGAGGCGGAGGCGCGGTGCAAGGAGCATCTTCGACGCGATACAGACGACCAATACCTATTTTTATGCCGTACAAGGTCACCACGAAGGTATAATTTCCGTTAATTGGAATCATCGACGATCGTTAATGTCAAATAATCAATAAGTTATTCGTTAATTACGCTGACTAGATTTCCATGGCATTAAAAGATTGTTTTCGTTTCTGTAGCTGGTCTATTGGGAAGGCAAAAATTTCTACTTGGAGCACGAGTTCATCAGCTTGACGGACGGTTTTATTCGAGCGGTCGGTTTGAGTAAACAAACGGTCACGGGTCTCGATATTCCGGTGTCCGAAATTGTTCTCGAGGTCGAACCTAACGCTCAACGACCCGAGATCACGAAGGAACTGCAATTATGGATAAATTCGATGGAGGAATCCTCTCAAAAGTATAAAAAAAAGAATTGATAGACGCCGTTTAGCTGTAATCTTTTTACGTTTCCCGTGTTACGCAATTTATTATTTATTTTGTTTTATCTATACGACCGACGATTATTTTAATCGATAAATCGACGGTTCTGAATTTCTCACGTTCTTTTCGAATAAACGATCGATTAGACTGGTGTATAGGACCTTGTGTTTTCTAATCTCTGCCATCTATTCTCGCGACGACTAATAAAAAGTTGGTTGAAATTGGATGGTGTGAATGTGAGTTTATTATATAAATTAAACCACGCTCGATACTATGATCCATCGGTAATTCGTTGTACCAACAAATATCCTCCATAGTAGGCATCCTGTTAATAATATACAGTGCCCATATATTTATTTAGTATAATTTTTAAGGTGGTACTTATTACAATCTGCTAAATAATCTTTGACATTCTAATTCTGCGTTATTAATACTTAGAAGTATTAAAATGATACAATGCAATCGGTAGCTCTATTCGAGCGTTCGTAATCAAGGCCTTAAATTAGCAATTATTGCACTTAATGCGAGTACATCTTGTTATGATTAAGATCAATTACTTGTACTAGAAGGGGTTTGAGTAAGATGTTAAAATTATAGATCTTAAGAGGTAGTATTCTACTGGTAAATCCTTTAAAAAATTGATCTTCTTTTTACGGTTTTTCGAAGGATAGATACCCTGTGTCCAAACTCCTTGTCTATTTCATATTTTTTTAATTCACGAAAATTGACATTCCTTAACATGAAAGCAAGGCGTGGCTATAATAAATAGCGAATTATTATACTTCGTCTTCAGTTACACTTGTAGTTTTCCAGAAAAATCTGTTAATACCGCGAATTCGTTATCAGTTATAGTCTATATCAGGATACAGGAAAATAACAATAATGCTATTAACTTTATTGCCGTTAGCCCGTCACCCTCGTTGCCTCTCTATCTCCATCGGTCCCCATCGTGGGATTCGTCCGTCGTGCCTCCACCACACTTTCAACATTAATTAAAATTTAATTACAGAACGAATATATCGTACCATCGAATTTGTCGTCGCTCGAATAGACTTACGTAAAGTAGATCGTACGCCCGTTCGGAACGTTACGAACGACTCGAGCCGCAGGCCGGTAGAAAGGACGAGGAACTGTCAGTGCAAAAAAGGGAATCGCGATTCGAAAAAGCATTTCCATTCTCGGGCAGCTGCAACCGTGACATAACTCTTTCTCGCGTAATATGTCACGGCGTGTTCCCTCGCGTCGTTGGATTTCCACGGTTCCCGTCAGATGGCGACTTTCGTTTCACGGTGACTGATGGAGAACGGATGTACGAGAGTTCTGCATGTTACAGCGGTGCAGTCGATCCGGGAACTCGAAACCTGTCGCGAACGCGGGACGACCTTTGACTCCGCTTCCCATGTACCTTCGTGATCCGTTCAGTGTCCAAGAGCTTCTGACAGCTCCTGTCGATCGTGCACCGGCCCATTCTCATCTTCGTTCCACCTGTAAGTGGCATCAGCACGTTTCGAACAGCATTTACCGGTTCTCGCTTACTTCCGCCTACTTTGAATTTCTCGCGCATTTCTACCGACGCTCTGCTTCCTTTCTCTGCGTAATTTTCAAACGACGATGAACTTTCTGCTTGCGCCACAGCGAACAAAATAAGAATTCAACTTCGTCGCGTTCGAAATGAATTTAGAAACGTTATCGACGATCGCGTTGCCTCGTTTAGGAGCGTCAGCGTTGTTTCGCGCGTCCGTTGTCTCGTTTTTCAGAATTCCGCGTGTCAGGCATAAATTAAAGATGACTGATGAATAACCAGCTGCTCGACGATCGCGGCGACAGCGTTACCACGGTCGCGATCGTTTATTTTAATTCGATCGCGTTACGTTTCGCGCAGAAATAACCGATGCCGCTGCACGGAGGCGTATTTGCATTCGCGGTCTTCGCATGTAAACGCCACGGATGAAATTACGTAATTACATCAGGAAAATTCCTACGCGGATAAACACGCTATTGTTCGAAGTTACGCGATCCGCGTTTTCCGTAGGAAACGGTGAAACCTACTATAATCTCTTCGCCATCGTTCGTTAGCCATCCGCTTCGACGAATCGATTGCACGTATAATTCACGATACGTTTTGCGTTTCAGCTTTCTCCTGCTCGCGTTTCCGTCAATTTTAACCGATTCGTAAGATCCGTCGTCGCGCGGCTAATCTCGCTAATTTCGAATTTCGTAAACCGAACGAGTCGTCGTGAATTCCTTCGCTTCGTTCCGTGCAGAAAATTGTCTTCGTCAAGGCTCCGTGGCAATTTTGTCGCGTGCACCGCGGGAGACCTCGTTAACCTCGACGGAACGCTTTTAAACCCACCGCGGGAAGAATTAATTCGTTGCCAGCGAACCGTCCTAGTCCGATGGTCGAGACCGTTACGTCAGCACGCGCAGCTTCCGCATAGTAATTTACTTTTCCTTAACATTTTTGCCGAGAAGATCTTTTTTCTCGAAAAAGAATGGCCAGGACGTTCAATCGGGTCACACAGTTTCGTACGTGGTACCGGTTACGCAAGGCAATCGAGACCTCGCATTACATAATAATGATTATGAACGAATCTCATAATCAAGCTAATACGAATTGTTCAATGACACTGGTCCCCATGCTGCTCCCGCGATAATATGAGAAACAATCTATCCGGCCAGCTGACGATTATGGCCGGACTCTTCCACAAGCGTAACGTTGCGATTCTTTGCGATCGCTCGGAAAACATTTTATAAAAATGTTACGTTTAATTGTATCAATTGTCAATATGATGTTTCGTGATTTTAATTTTCTTTTTGATAGGTGTGTTAGATATAGAAGTAGAGAACAATTAATAGAAAATGTAAATGACACCGGGAATTGATAAAGTTTGGCTCGTGCACGTGGATGCCCGTATTAGCGTTTTAACGATCGTCGATTGAAACTAGTTTCTAGATCAAGGACCCCCCCGGTTTCTCCCCACGCGTTGGAATTAAGCACGTTAATTAATTGTCGCGGCGAGCCGCTTCGATAATCCGCGGGCGCGATCGCGACATCGAGGAAATCGATCGTGCGAACCGGCTGAACGGCGATTTCTCTTCCCATGTTCCTCTTCGCGGAACAATCGTCGTATTCCACTGGTACCCTAACCCCCTGGTCCTGTCCTCCGCTTTCTTTCGTGTTCGTGGGAAGCTTCTTTCTCCTTCGCCTAAACCGAGATCGAAACTTTCCACCTGTTGGCCAACGGCCGCGTGAAACGATCGATCGTTCGTCGATCAGTGCCTAGAAGCGAACTCTGGCTTATTACTTATACATTTAAAATAGATACAAAGTGAACGCAGTTGTCGCGGAACCAAATACAGTAGATGTATCTAACCCAGTTGTCACGCACAAATACTACGGAAGTAGAATATCTACGCGCGACAATAAAAATCACACTTACCACGCGAAACGAACACGCCATACACACCACGAAAAAGAGAGATTTACTATTTACACGACAATAGTGCTGTTGCCCCGAATGACTCATACTCCCCCGAACGAGTACTTTTTAAAGAAGGTTCTCCATAGAGTTTCCTGTGAACTATCGAGGTGTTAATTATTGTTACTACAGTGTTAAGAGTCCTGCTTGTCGATTTCATTATTTCGAAGGTGCCAGTAATCGAAAGACTCGAAAATGGAGTCCCAAAAACGTTCTCTCGCTATATTCGGGGCAATCGAACGATGACAGATCGGGCACCTGGTCTTTTAATAGAAGAAGAAGGTTTCCATCGCGTGTTCCTGTAATCCGGGACTGGAGAAACCAATCACGTATGCGTCGCGGGGGATTAAGAGACACGAGACGCGGACGGCGCCTCTGACCCTTTGTTCGATCCTCGGTTCGGCCACGTGGGAGGATCGGTGCACGAGGTCGCATATCGTCTCGCGATTAACGAGCACATTGTAATAAATTGGGAATTATGACGCTGGGACCCTCTGGTCTCCCGTAATCGACCGCGGTTTCTTCCAACGATCCCCTTGCAACGGCCCTGGACGACGCCATTGTCGTTTATTAAGAAATTGCGTCGAACGAAGGATTCCCCAGCCGCACAGAACATTACGAACTCATCATTCGGTGCTATCGTGACGTTCAATCAGACTTTACCGAGCGTAAAATTTAGTTATCAAAGCTCGACGCGTAGAATGTCACTCGGAGGGATCGCGGATCGCGGATCGGCCGGCGCGCGAATTTCAAATGCAACGAGCGTTTCTTTAATCGAGATCGCGCAAATTACACGCTAAGATGGAACACGAGTGTGTGCACACGTCGGTCCTTTCCTCGATTACGTCACGTGGGAAGTTGTGCGCGTAGGACGTGTTAATGCGCAGCCGCCGATGGCACGTATGTACGTATCATAAAGCGAGAAGGGCCACGCACGGGCCAGAGAAAGAGGGAGAAAGAGAAAAAGAATCGTGCCGCGTTAACTCTTACGTTTAAGCAACGTCCACACCGTGTCCGTCGAGGCGACGAGCGGGGAGATCATAGATGATCGCAAATTGTCCGCAATTGGCAGGAAGTCGCGGCAAGAGGGACCGTTCCTACGCCCCCCTGTACTCTCTTCGTCGTTCATTAGCCGCCGCGTTTGCGGTTCCATTTCGCTCGCACGAATTGATTTCAAGTACGATTAATCCCTGCTACGCGAATCCCTGACGGATCTGGCCCCCGAACCCGTCGACCTCGCCCCGCTCGAAAACAGATTCTCCATCGTGCTGTTTTTCTAATCGATTTCTTGCTAGATTCACGATTTAAAATTGCAAAACTCGTGCACATTTAATTCGATCGATCTAACCGTACGCGTGTATTTATATTCTAATTAAAAGAAGAACCGTATTTTGCCTGGTCTTGCCTTTGTCTGGTGTTAAAAACGGTGGAACACGTGAAACCGTGTCACCCAACGAATGCAGGTACTCTAAAGAGAAAATTTGAAATGCTCCCGAAGCGTAACCTTAATGTGGAAATAAACAGAAAGCGTAGAAAATGCGCGGAGACCCGGAGCGAACGCGGTTAAATTTTCCTCGCCACTCGGCGGGTTTAAACATCGTGAAATCGAAAGGGTTAACGTTGATAAGCGGAAGACCCCTCCACGTCTCGACAAGGTTCATTTACTTATCGTTCCGTGACGATTTCTCGTTCGTGACAGCGTACGTTCCTTCCTGAAAGAACGATTTCTGGGCGTTTCGGGACACTGGGTCACGTTTGTTTAACTAGCTCCGTTCGCAACGAGCATAGATCGCGATACCGTGTTGCGTTACGCGTGAAATCGTGTTCGGTCCCGCGATAAGGCGAATCAATATTGTTCAATCCCGATAACAAAGTACAGACCGATCCACGAAGAATAGAAATACACGAGTGAATTCCTCGGTGATTCGCGAACTTACCGAAACGACGTTCACGCTCTCCATCATCGGCGAAGGACGCGTCCAGAGTCGCCATTAACTCGCGAAGATTCGCGTTTACGGCGACAAGAAAAGCCAAATTGCCGATCGTAAATTCGCACGCAACGGTGCCGTCGTATAAATCACGAGCTTTTTGTCCGACCGTCGAGGAAGACGTCGCAAATAATACGTGGTGGCTATCAAACGATTCTTTTCGTGCTCTCGCGATTCGTTGGCCGGTTCGAATCGTTACGCTCGATTACGCGAGATAAGCCGTGTCTCGTTCCCCGGTTTCTTGCTCCGCCGATGTCGCCTCACCTGTGCAAAGAAATTCCCTTTCGTGTCTCAATCGGGCACGTTCCAGCGAGAAACTCGCGTCGCGAAACGATCTATGGGATCGACCGCTGGAACCAGAATCGTTTCGCGTCGCGCGCAATCGTCCGGTGCATTGCTTCTTTTCACGAGATTAGAGAGCACGATAATCGGCGTTGTTCCCGTCTTTATTCGAACGCAACGAGCGTCGAGAGTAATGTTAATAATCCAGTGAAATCGGTCGCTTTAATTACGCGCCAGAAAGAGAGAGAAAACTCTGTCCTCGTCGACCAGTTATTTTTTACGCGGGGTTTTCCACAATTCGTACCTTTATTCGACGCTGTATTTAATTATCTTGACGTTACGTCCGAGTGCCGGTCACCGGTGACCATCGAGAAAACAGTTCGCGACAAGTCGAGAGTAAAATTACGCCGGTGGATCTTTTATTCAGCGGGTCGACGCGCGCCGTCCGATCCATTATTTACACTTACGCGAACCGGGATGTTTAATGCATGAAAAAGAACTTGTCGAACACTGGCGGCGTGTTTCCCCGAGATTGTTGTTTCCGATATCGTCGTGACCGTGTTCCGTGGAATACCGTGGGGCCTTTACAAGTCCATCGTGATCCGTTGCATCCTGTCGGGGCTGCGCAGCGTCGATGCTTTCGCGGATTTCGCGATGTCTATCGGGTCCAAAGGTCGAATGCTAAATCCTCGACGTATCGAGGCGTTGCAGAGTTTTATAAATCGTCAACGGTATTCGGTATTCCTTAACTTTTTTAGTCCTTTAGCAAAGAGTCGACGCGTTGAATAGGAAGCGTGGAAATATGTCGGTCGTGGTATCGGTGGATTCGGTACAGAAAGGAAAACACAGTGGCAGATTTCCGACGGCCTTGACGGCTCGCACGTTTCGCAGCGGGCGTCCGTAGGAAAGTGACGTCTTCCACGCTAGCAGATCTATCCGTAGGTGTTGCCTCTACCTCCGAGCGATCGTGATCGGGATCGCGTATAGGTGAGAGGCCTCTCCGCCGACAGGGTGTCCCGTTAGGGGACCTAGAAGGCCCAGAAGGGGCCACACAGCCAATCGTATCAACCTGGTTCCGAACATACCGGAACGGATCCTCGACCGACGAGGATCGCGCTCGATCGGGTCAACCGGTGCGATTCGCGTTGTATCTTCGCGTCCGTTGAGTTCATCGTGCGACAAGAAAATGGGAGCCTCCCTATCGAGACGTTGATCGTAAGTTTATATTCGGTGGTAAAATCGCGGATCCGAAAATAATCGCTGGAGAATACGAATTTGTGTTGTACGATCGTCGCGTGTGCCTGTGAATTCGACTACATACGCAGACCGCTGTATCTTCATCTTCCGTCTGCCTCTCCTTCTTCCCTTCCTTTTGCTCGACTTAGTTTCGTTGGTGGGCAAGGCGTTTCCTGGCAGTTCGCGTACGCCGTCGCGATCGAATTCACGGGTTCGATCCAACGATCGCGCGGCGAAAGTTCACGCGTGTTAATTAACGATCGTCGACGGCCAAATCCGTGCACGTGTCAATTAAGATCCTCCGGTAGAAAGCGACATTAGACATCGGCCGACGCGTGCACGCGAGCACTTTCGCGATATTTTCACGATTTTGCATATGCAGATCGGAACGATTGCGGGCGACGGTAAAAGTTTTTTAGAGGTCTGTTTACGCCAGAGAATCATAGCATTCCGTTTACCGTGGGTTCTAGGAAGTCAGTCCCTTTGCCACGAGGACCTCGCAAAGGATCCAGCCATGAGCCGCACAGGATACACGTGCATCAGGCACGTCTTCTGCTCCCTCAACGTTCTTATCTGGGTGAGTAATCAATCAACCAGGACTAAACGCTTATTCGAATAAAAATAGAATATGTAACGAGCTATCTCGTAATTATTGCCCGTGTAAAATTATTTGCTCGCACAACACAGCCAGTGTCAACGTGTTATGTCTCGGAATACGAAATGTGCAACAGGAAGCGATAAAATAATTTTTGCATCCAAATTGTGCGTCTTATCTTGGTGCTCCCACTGCTTGTGGAAGTGTGTCGCGGATTATCGAGCGTCCAGTAATACGAAGTCGAACGTATCTATCTGCGTATTTCGTTGAAATTGATGCTTAACGTTCCGCGTAGCGCCCTCGTTAATTACCAATTAATTTCCATCGCGGCCACTTTTTCTTCGTTGGATTTGCTGAAACCTGCGCAAACGAGTTGCGCTCGTTACGTGTTGCCGTTAACTCCATCGCCTTTTTCGAACGAGTTAAAAATAAAGATTTTTCGCGATTTCGCTGGCGCGGCTCGCGCAATCGAGGCCCTTTTGGTCACGCTCTCGAAAACAGCTGATTAAAACGGAGATAACACTGACCAGGGAACATACATTGTTTGGGGTGCATAGCATTTACGGGGCCAGGGAATAAAACAAAAGAAATTAAAGTTACCATATTTATTCGTATCACCATAAAACGAATACAGATCTACCTGTGGGTTTGCTTTGTAAAATTCGCTCGAGAAACGATGTTGCCCGACACTGGTGGACTCCTCGACCAGCTGCAGAACGTCGAAACAATCGACGAGTTAATTTCCATCGTTGCAGTCGGTGTTGCACTTCGTGCAGATGAACAGGAGAAGCGCACGAACAGTAGGAACAGCCCACGCGCGCTATTAAATCGACGCGCATTGTCATTCTCGGTGCATTCCAGCCTGCTCCGTCTCTCCTCTCGAATTTATTGTTCCACTTGAAATCGTCCGCCGCGTGGTAGTCTTAAATAGGACATTGAACCGTGCTCTATGAGCTATGAACTTACGTTACCACCGAAGACGTCCGTCCGACGAGACTTTTCCTCCTTAGCGCATTTGACAGGTACACTTTGTCGCTGTTTCCTTTCCTTTCGCGTTCTATCGTCGTCTGCCGCCATTTACAACTCGTTTGGAGCGATCATCTTTGTTTATATTCAGCCTGGAATCGGACAGACGTCAAAATGATGGATGCTTTCGTGCCTTTCGTTTCCTCTTTGTATTCGGCCTTCTGGTCGAGTGACTTGGAGATCTATTCGCGTTCAGGGAGAAAATGTAAAATTAGAATCTGATTGCAACGTTTAATTAATGTACGAGCGATGATGGAATCGAAGACATGCATTTTATAATAGAAACGGAGGGAAGTAGAGCTTGCTGATGAATTTAACTACTTGATAGACACGTGAGAATATTTATGGTAATATTTGAAAAGAATATACAGGGTATTCGGTCACCTATGGGAAGAAATTTGAATGAGAGTATCTAGAGGCCAAAATAAGACGAGAATCAAAAATTTCTTTCGAATCTTCCATTAAAATTTTTCCCAGGGGTGGTCGAACACCTTGTATACACGGTAGCGTGGACAAATTAAGTCTTCGAGAGTCATTTATCTTTCGGCGAGATAACGATCGGAAGCACAAGGCATCGACGATAAAGAAGTACTTATTATCGTGTATAATGTCGGCAAACAACTCTCATTCTCAAAATCTAGACATCAGATTCTAGAGATTTGAACTATAGAGCGAGATAAGATGATATAATTTCGTAATTGAGACAAAAATACACTATTAGGAACGAAGATTTAAAATCTTAAATATTATTTGGGTAGAAGAATGTTGAACAGTCCTCAAAAAATATTATTACATTTGTTATTGCTATTATTCGCGGCACGTATGCTCTCTATTATATCTCGCCTCGGGCGCGTCATACTTCGTTGAACCCTCCTTACACGTTAATAGAATATTTCCATAATTTGTCTACTATTTTTATGGAAATTCACAGAATGTAACTGTAAAGCATGCGTGTCTATTTTCCCCGCACAGTCGGCTACGAGAAACTAGTACGTAGCATAACCGATCCGTGCATTCAAATATACAGAGCGTTTCAGAAAGATGGTGTCAAAAATTATTTAATAAAAAGCGTTTTAATAAACACGGGTCGATTATCGGTGTTCGAAAGGGTTGATAAAATTTTAACGATCGATCGAAGTTGAGGAAGACTGGTAGCATTTTTCAAAGACCTCGTTACGCGTGTCGCGCCCTTAATTGGACGCTCGACCAGTTCCGACCGCCATTGGACACGCTGGAATTGCATCTGCAATTCCGTGTAGGTTTGCTAATCGTCCGAAAAAGCGACGTTTTATTCTCAGTAGATCCTTAACGGTACTCGTTTCTCGATCGACGTAAATCGAGCATCGTTTAATCGTTTAATCGACCGTTCATTGATTCCTCGTGGCCAACTGTGTCGAGCGACGTTGCTGATAAAACCGGTGCCGGTGCACGCGCGCCGATATTAGGTCGTTCGAGCGCGGCGATTCTAGGCGATTCTGGCCCGACGCTTAAATTACTTCATTCGAACTCGTCTAACCGGATTGGATAACGCGGTCGTTACTGCACAGATGCTAATTTACGGGAGTTCGACGGGTTCGCCGGTGCAGGGTCAATAGTCTGTCGGCGGCCTCTCTGAGCCTCGTCGTAGATTACACGTTGTCTTATCCCCGGTGACTTGCTTGTCCCGACCTGGCTCGAAAACCTTCCCGCTCGCAACTAACTCGACAAATTGACCGTAACCTGTCACCTGTGCACCGGGTGCCCCCTCAAAAACCTCGCTGCTTTTCTTCGGAGTTTCATCGCGTTAAACACTCGGCCACAAATCAGAAACAGAGGTTACATTAAACTCTAATATTATCAAAGAACATAGACACGAATTTATATGAAAAAAAATCCGTGCATTTTGGACCGTAGATCTGAAAAGTATCTGACCGTCGATGGGTTGAGAATCTACGGTCAGCCGATATGGGAGCGACAGCGATTAGAAATGTGGAACGATAAAGGACGCGATACCGTTACGCCTCCCGTCGTCAAGACCGCCGTGTACATCGATGGGATTCGGACCACACAGATCGAAATTAGGTTGAACCGAGTCGGACAATGGAACGGTAGAAATCGCAAGCTTCTTTCTCGGTCGAGCGACTCGGTCTCGCTGATGGCAAATTGCTAAACCGCAACAATCTCCGAGAAAGGTCAATATCCCTTCTAATCTCTGTCACCGATACTCCCGGGGAGTACGCTTCTCCCATGAATTCTGTTGGAAACCGTAGCCGCGACCGCGAGAAAAGAATCGAGATACCCGTAAATCGATCCTGCGTTTCACATCCACGGCTCTCGAGATTCGCGTGATCCGCGGGTGAAAAGCGACGTAAAATCGTCTCGCGTCCCATCGACGTCTCAGTACGAAACGCCGTGCTTTCTCGTACCACGACCCACATTTCCAGACGCTATTATGCGGACGCTAAATAATCGAGATTCTCACCGTGCGTGGAAATCCATTGGCGTCGCCCCGACGCGCGACGCGTTCAGCAATTCGAGACGCCATCGCGTCGATCGTCGTTCGTTTGCATAATTCATGGCGAGCGAGCTCGAAATCCGGCGTCGATCGTCGTCGACTCCGAAAGCGGTGAAAATAAATGGAAACCCGTTCCGGTGTCCCGTGGATCGCGATTTTTCGCAACCATAGACACCGTTGGGGACGCGCGGAAGCGCTTGCACGCGCGTTGACACAGGGACGACATAACTGTGCACTGAATCGTCAAGGAGAACCTGTTCAGCTATCATAGCGCTTCTAAAACTGTCGCCAAAGCGATAATTTGTCTGAAAAGTAAAACGTAAGAATCCACGAGAAGTAATACTGGAAGTTTGCCTCAAAAAACAGTAACTTGTTGATTCCATTTCGAGATGTCGTGGTCCCCGTGACCCAACGACCCGCGTATTTACGCGACATTCTCTTTTTCCCCGGCTTCACAGTCGAGAGCATTTAGGCCATGGCGTTCTGACCGGTGTAATTTTCTTTACAGTTATGCGGTTGCGGAATTTTGGGTGCAGGCCTCTGGCTGCGATTGGCTTACTCCGGATACACGACCCTGGTGCCGCGTTTGAGTTTCGCGTCAGCTGACTCGCTTCTGCTGGCTGCCGGTTGCCTGACCTTCGTCATCGCCTTCTTCGGATGCTGCGGTGCCTGGTTTCAGTCCAGATGCATGCTGATCACGGTCGGTGGTGTCCTATTCCTACAGACGTTCACCTTCAAACGGGCATCGTCTTCGCCGCTAATCATTTTTATCCGACCGTTTCCGTCCGCAGTACTTCGGATTGGTGATACTGATGTTCCTGGTCGAGTTCATGTTCGGCACGCTGGCCCTCATCTTCAGGGAGCACCTCGCTAAAAGCTTGAAAACGGAGCTGTTGTTCGGCATCGAGAAACATTATAATCTGACCAGGGAACCCGGAATGCTTCCCGCTATATGGGACCACATACACACGGAGGTAAACGACTACTCGCGAGCATTCACAAAATTTGTTTACAAACGATCACCACTATGGTATCCTATAACTTGTGATTTAATATTCGAAGTAGACGATGCTGGAGTTCACAGATACGTCGGAGAGAGCTCCTGTGTTTGCTGGAACGTGGAGGGGATAATTTATTGCGAACATTTGCAACGAGATCTGGCTATAAATTCGAACGTTTATCGTCAACAACCGATACGGAGTAAACGAATGCTTGACAGAAGACTGTTCGCGTCTCGTCAACAGGAAAAGTATCTCTCATCGAGATAACGCTCGATCGTATGCGAGTTTTACGACTCGATTACCATGTATTCGGATCGTCTCTACCTTTTATCGAACACAGAGACAGCAATGTACTATTTTTCATTTAAAAGAGTTCATTTATTACGTCCACGGAGAAGTTCCACGCGATTCGATGCAAATTTTATTACATCGCCATGAAACGAATACTAGATCATCGATGCTTCATCTTCTATAACCGATGTATGACGGACTCGTTTCACGTTCTTCCATTTGTTTTCTGTACCTCGAGACCATCGTCGTCAGACTCATTACCAGAAGAGACGAGTCCGTTGTTCGTGTTGCTTTATCTTGTAACCAACCTGCTTAAGATTACGAATTACAAGGACAAAGGCACTGCGAGACAGCGAATTGCAGACGCGTGCTCGGCATCAAATCGAGATGCTTGCGTAATTGAATGAACTAAGCATTTGCTCGTCGTATGCAAGAGTGCATTCAATATGACAGACTGCATTCAGAACACAGTCTAGAAGATAAGCAACCATCTTTGATAGGAAATATATGTATAGCAAAGATGAAAGGAGAGAATCTACAGTTTCAACTGTCTTGGAACAGTCTAACAACGCGTATTAAAAATAGTTAAACTTTAGACGCGTGCAGTTCCGAAGCTATTAACGTTTTATTAATTATCGAGGTATCGTTAGAAGCGGCAAAGCCTCCCCTTTAAAACGGTTTTTGGTTTTTGTCGATCGGACTTTCCGTTTCCGAGATATCGTAATTTATGTGAAGGGGTGATTTTTCTTAATTCGACTCTCTCTGTCTTCGTCTAGCGCCTCGGTCCTCTCGCTCGCACGTGCGTCGTGCTGACCTACCCCACGAACGTGACTGTCGTGACCTAGTTCCGCGTAGTGTTTCCAAGAATTTACTACGCGCTACTACTAGCGCGCGCGCGGTCATTCACCTCGCATCAATGAAACGTAAACAAACGCTCGGACCCTCGTATCTCCGAAACTAGCCACCGCATCGACTCGAAATTAAAATCGCTATATCTCCGGAACTAATAAAGCTATCGACTCGTTCAAACGCTCATTTTAAAGGGCATTTCATCCTCTATCCATTGACTATACCAGCTACTATAATTTATGCTGTCTTCTATGTTTATTTTCACATTTACTTTGACGCTACATACCCAAAGTAGTTTCAGCAATTTCTACTGCTCATTTGACTCGTTTAGTAAACCTTACTGAAATCCAGGAAGAGATTAAAGCTAACTTCGTCCTGGTTCTACAAAATGGAATTATCATCCAAGATTGCTGGTAGGTGGGGACAGAAATTTTCCAGTAACGAACTTTAGGCCAATTTCCTAATTCATGCAACGCCTACGAGTCCTATCAGTCCAGCTAAGGAAATTCAACGAATTCAGGTTTCTGGACCAGGCTGCGAGAAATCCTGCGTCAAGATAGAATGTTCTTTACCATTTGCATCGCTGTTACAACGTCGGGAGCTTACTTTTTGTTACGATTTCAGTTCCATTGCTGCGGCGTGCGGGACTACACCGACTGGTATCAGATCGACGCATGGCCGACGGAGGATCGTGTTCCCGACTCTTGTTGCATTCAAAGGGAACGATACTGCGGTCGCCTGGACCCGGAGGGACGTAACAAGGAGCTCTGGTACAAGGAAGGTTGCGCTCACGCTATTCAAATGTGGCTGGTGACCAGGCTTCACGTGGTCGGTACGGTGGGTCTCGTGGTCGCGTTCCTTCAGCTGTTCGGACAGGTGGCCAGCATGATACTGTTCTGCACCGTCAGGCACAAGAGATCCTCCCACACGTACAAGAGCTACGACACCACGAACACCTAGAATTTCAGATGGATCTTGGACGAAACGAGCGTCTAAGATCCACGGGAAAACGATCTACTCGCCAACGATCACGATCTTCTTCGTCGCGGCTGAAGAAGATTTCGATCGTTCGGACGCTCCGTCGAGCGGGATCCGAATCCCTCTAAAAAAAGTTTCTTCGTTGCCTTCTGATAAGATACTTTGTCGCGCCGAGACGTAGCCCCCCCGTTTCCATTGCGTCGTTAAATTCGAGAAAGTGGGGCATAAATGTTTGACGAGCGACACGTGAACGTCCAGTCACGAGTGTAACGGTCGTTGCTCTTGACGAACGACGTTTCAATGATAAAAGCTCGGAATTGCGAACTATAGTGACGAGTCGACGACTGTGCGCGTACTGTCCCAGAAACGAAACGGAAGTGACTGCCGTCACGGAGCCCAATTTCGATGTTTGAAGCGGTTTGGACAGATGTATTCGAGAGAATCGTTTTATGTTATTCTGCATGCGAGTTTGTTTATCCACTGCGTAACGTTATCACACACTGCGTATACCAAAATCGCTTTTTGTACAACCAGGCTTCCAGCGATCGTTTCGCGTGCAACTTGTCCATTGATTTGTCCGCTTCTGTTACGCGCATTAACGCGCCTGGTTGCGCAAACGCACAAGTATTTCTACTCGTTATCGTTTAAGATCGGACCACACGCTCCCGCGGGAACCCTGGAACCGCGCTCCTCGAGATTTCGTTTAGCTTTAAATCCCCGGGAGGCGTCGGTCGGACATTTCTTTTCTCGTATATTTATTTTATTATACACACCGTCGTGTAGTTGGTAATCTAGCAGCACGAAACGTTTACTAATTCTTTAAGGGACCATGGTTCGACAGGGCAGGGCTTCTTAAATTCCCTTTGTCCTCCCATTTATTAACTCCTGATTGTTGAAAATCTGTAGACACTGTTCCTAACTTGGAATTATCTAATTCAGATATGAATCAGATATTACGAATATCGTATGCAATCGACGTATCTTTCTTTGCTGTGTTTTTAAGTGCACGCGATCTTGAAGAATGTTAAACCCTTGGGAGATCGCGATAGTTGAAGAAGCTCTGCGATAAAGTATGCGAACGATGAAAGCGAATCGTACGATTGCATTGCGTTGCATCAGAAACGTTGTACGTGTATTGTTTGATTAATAAATAATATATTTATGCGACAACCGCGCGTCTTTGATTTGCTTCCGCGTCTGCGTGCAATTACGAATTCAGTAGAGGATGTGGGGTTTAGATAGAAAACAAACAATTTATTTGAAAAAACAGGAAACAGAAAAACATGGAACAAGCAATTTTTTAAATTAGTTAACTTGCACGGTGGTCACTCGAGACCGATGAGACGCGCTCCTACGTTATTCAGCGCCTCCGAGATTCCGCGGGACGTCTTTTTGGCAGCCATTCGTGGAAACTTGAAGTATAAATTAAATTTATTGGCATTTGGCGTATTTGGAGAGCACCGGCACGATCTGACCGTAGAACGCAAATTACATAATTTGAAATTGGAGGTGCTTACGTCAACTACAGCGTTGAGAAAGTTGCTGAAACCTTCGAATCCGTTGACGAGGGCCCTGCCAATTCCTATGAACTTGTCCCCGGAGTTTCCATATTTCTCTTGCTCCTTGATGTTGTCCACCAAAGGCGTAGGCCTAAACAAACTTTCTAATACTCCGCTGATGGGCTTGGAAATTGGCCTTTCCAGGAGACTTTGCGCCCCCTCCGTCTCCAATCGAACTGTTTCTCGAGAGTTCGGTCGAGTATTGATCACTGGCGGACCCTGGGTCGCTTCTAACGACTGCTGTCCAGGATTCAGAGCCACGGATTTTTCTACCACCACCGTGGCCACACTGTTCTGCGATTCGCTGGCCAGTGCCTGATCGATGAACAAAAATCACACGTCTTTTTTCTCCTTTCGTTCCCCGAGCATTCCCCATACGAACTCGCGTACAATTCGAGAGGCTTATGGTATTATAAATTCCGAGTTAAAACATTTATTGAACATTCAGACTTGTTGGGACGTCAGTGTCTTGTTTGTACCAGATTAGAAGGAAGAGTAAATTTAGATCAAGGCGTTCCTCTTCTATTAATTATTACATAAAGTTTCGATACTTATAATACACATAATTTATGTACTTTAATCTTCACTTGAAACGTTGTACGATAATTAATAAATAGAAGGAATTACTTTGTCCTTGTTTACTTTTTCTGCTGGTCTAATACAAATGTAATTTCATTGGGTCATCAACGACTTTATGATGCTAACAGAAGATACGTGGCTTCGAGGGTTGCATTGTAAATGTTTCCTTTCCTTTTATTCCGTTATTTAAGTATTAAAATAATGGAACATGCAGGGAGATAGAAAAATCAGTTCCAAGTTAAGGAGAATGTCGTACTACGAGTAAGGGGAATGAGGACAGTGTCCATTAACTTGTACGTAGCCGCAGGCCGTACAACGTTTGACCAAAACGTTTGACCCAATACGACATTACGCTTCTTTCAAGACTGATTTTTCTTTTCCCGTATATTACACCCGATCCACCTGTTCTCATAACTTTATGATAACATAGATGAGACTTGGAGATAGTTCTCTACCTAGCCTGTCTTATAACATAAGATACACTCCTTCAAAGTAGAACAAAATGTTAAAAAGATCATGCATGAAATTGTAAGGGAATCCTTGCAAGAAGGCTTTAATTTTCGACTTTCTGATGGTTTTAATGGGTCACTGGCTATTCGATGGTCATACATCATACATTCAATACACGCAAACGTATTGAAATGCAGCGATATTTAATAGGTAATTTATTAATTGAATCGGCAACTTGTAAGAAAGTTTAACAAACATCATCTATCGTTTCGTTTGCGCAATACTAATTGTAAGTAGTAGAGTATCGTCGATGAGAAAGGATAAGAGGGACTTGGTTACTTTCCACTTACAAACCTAATAGCAATTTAGAAATTAGAATTCTACAACCCTAGATCGTTTAATACCTGCTCAAAATGGTTACCAATGTATCAGGCACATCTCGTAACTAAACAACGCTTCCTCCTACTTATTTATAATAAAGAAAATAAAGGTGTTGGTTTCAGCGGGACATACACTGTATTTAGCATGTTAAAGTGGTATTTTATAGCGCATTAAGTTCACATTAGCTTCTCAGTTAATCGTGTTTGCGTACCAAACAGAGTTTCGCGAGATTTCGTGTCCACGTAGCTACTTGAGACGAGTTTTATAAAAGATTCGACCTCGAGAACTTTTACGCGAGATTTTTCTTCCCGTCGAGCTCGTTCGATATTCATTATTGCCACACGCGATAAGAAAAAAGAAAAAGAGATCAGCCTTGTGCCGGATAATTGCGAAACAACGTCGCAAGGTGAACCGATGCATTCGTCGAACCTCGAATCTGTTCCGAGGGGTTATTCGTTCGGGTAGAAAAGGGTTGAAAGTCGGGCGTTAATCGTGTAATTGCGCCAATTACCTCCGCCCGATCGACTATGTTGTTTCTGGCCAGCGTGATGGAATTGACCAATCTTCCTGCGACGATTCTTATCGCGTCCGAGACGCGGCCTAATAACTCCTACAAAAACCGAAACGGAATTTTGACTGGAACCGTCCAGGTCCTCGGGCCAATGTTGCAATTTTGACCATTCGTAGACAACGCGTGCACTCTGTCGACATCGATTTTTCGGTCGATCTCTTCATCTCACGCTTCAGAAAAATCCGTGCAACACGAGCTCTCCTTTCGCTAATCATAGTATCGCGAATTCCAAGCGATGGACCATCGTTCTAATTTCTAGTTCGCACCGGAGTGCGAGCAAAATTTTTCTGGAGTGTCAAAACGAGCGTTCGCTTCGTGGCGCGCTTTTTAAGGCTACGGAAACTTTCCTCCGCGGCACGAGGAATTCGAGAAATCACTCACTCGTCCTTGGTCCAATCTCGACGTCGAGACAGCGTCCGTGGAATTTACATTGCCGGTGTTCAGCGAGAATTTCGTCGGTTGTTCGGCCGGCAGGCCTATCGATGGATCGAATCGAGACACGATAACTATAACGCCTATCCACAGAATACTTCTCGTTCCAAACGTGCCCCCCATCTCTGCTATTCTGCGGAGAAAATTTCGCGGTAAATGTTCGAGCTCCGTTCACGGAATATTGGGAATAATTATAGTCTTGGTTGCATTCGCAAGCAAGATGTTTCGAATACTTACACGCGCGCTTGCGCTTGCACTTGCACTTCCGGGACCGGGAACTGTCGATATGGAAACGGAAATCGAACGACGTTGGTGCTCGTTGAATCGCAGTTCCTCGAAGACTAAAAGATTTCGTCGTGCTCTGTTATAAACTCGACACACAGTCTTACGACATGTTACTTTCTCTTTCGATTTGCCTCACAATGTTAGCAATGCGTCTCCGGTGTGCCCCTCTACGACCGATTCGAGCTTCCGATAAACATTCACTCGCGAAAAAACTTAATATTGCAATGATCATCTTCTTAACTAGCTAAATAGTAACGAGCCAACGCGTCGATGTAATTTTTAACGTTCGAACGCAGAAAGTCTTGCACGTATACTTAATAATAATTAATGTTTGCATCGATGGCCATTGGGACAGTTTGGAAAGGAAATTAGAAGGAGCGTTGAAAGAAATGCAAAAATCGTTTGCAGTCATTCAGTTTTATTTGCAACTTTCGGTTAAGTATTGTTTTTTATAGATAATTTTTTTATGGTCTACATTACAATGCGCGAGATACAAACATGCTGATCAGAGAGACTACAAAGTTCATAACATTCAGCGGCACCTGAAACGCAAAATAAAAATACGTCAAGAAACGCGTTCGAAGAATCGTTCGACATAGTACGCGAGATAATACTTACGCCAATCATTTCTGCTGCGTAAGGTATTAGAGACCCCATTATGGGTATTTTTTCTAGTATAGTAGTTAAAGGATTCTTCTCCAGCATAGAATTAACGATACCGGACTGCATGATTGCGGTGTGAAGAGCATCGAGGGGGATAGTTATAGGACCGGTGATGATTCCGGGAATTATAGTATTTATGGTTTCGATGATGGTTTGCGCAAAACCTGGCACGTAAGTTTCGTAAAGATCCTCGATCATGTATTTAATGTCCATCGGAGCTGCTCGTCACAGAAAACAATACAAGTGTAACGCATTAGGATTAGTTTCGTGTTGCTCTAACACGCGACCCCGAAATCAATCGTCCGAATAACGCAAATATCGCTTTAAACGTTGATTAATATTTCACGTTTCGCTGAGAATTAGTATACACGTACCGGTCATTTGACCCCCTTGTTCCCCTTGTCCCCCTTGATCCTCTTGTCCTTGCATCATTTTTTCTGATCAAAAAATGACACCATTAATTTTTCAACAACGTATACGAGATGTTCTTCGTTGTTTGACTTACCCATTGATGCTGATGAGTCATTTTGATCGACATCTGATGCACTTTCCTGTAATTTTCGTTACGGAAGATATTATATTCTGTTTCCGGTTTCACAGATCGTTGTAGAACAGTGTTTTGTCCCGAAAGAAATTTTATTTGGTTGCTTACCATGGAACCGTCGGGTCTGGCGAATACCCCAACCGCGAAGATGATCAGAAACAGAGTAATGAGCTTCATTTTGATCGCGTTCAACACCCACGGCGAGAGGAACAGAAGGTATTGATTAGCTCGACCGTTTAGAACTGTCCGGAACCGCTCTGTCGCTCGTTACTTTTTACCAACCTGGTTCGCCAACGGCTTTATAGTTATCGGGCAAAATATGTTAAAACGGTTTGCCATTAATTGCAACCACTTAATGATAGGTCTAGTTACCCGAACGTCAGTTTCAATATTACGAATCTCGACCTTGACTTTCGTTGAGTGCTACGTGATTGTTCCATACACCTTTGTGTCGCAACAAATTGCAGTATAGATACACATATTAGCTAATTGCATAATTCGCGAGCTTCGAAGACCACAGAGTAGATTTAAAAATACTTTTTAAGAGAGCACGGTTTTCCTTTTAAACCGAAAGTGCATTGAAACGAAAAATTCGGCGTGCAATTTTTTAGTCTCGTTATTTCTCGAAGTAAACGTCGGGCGAAAAAATAGAGGGGAGATTAAGTTAGAAGGTTTATTTAAAAATTTCTCGTAGAATTGTACACGAAGTAATTTCGATCACCACGGCGTATAATAACTCCATTACCATAAATTTACGTACAAGACACACGCGCGTGTCAACCGAAATTGTTGTTCAATAGCTGGTTGACAGCGTTGAGCGTCGATACTGGTATCTGTAAAACGAAGCAGTTCGGTAGGGAAAAAATCGTGTGAGTCAAGTTCGATGGATAATGTTGCTCACGTTGAAGACGTCGTCGAAGAATCCGTCGCTGCTGGAGCCCTGTGCTACCACAGTCTTTGTTTCCGTCGTGGGCGTGTTCACCACGTATCTGTCCGCTTGACGACGCGTTATTTTTTGAGCAATTTGCTCGGGTGGATTTTGCGCCTCCGCCGAGGCGTCGTAGATTATTTGCTTCCTGGGTCCCCACAGTCTCTTCCTGACGATCCACTTGGGGTACACAACCCTCACTCGTTGGGGACGATTGACTAGAAACACGCATATTATTCCTCTAGAATTTTTATCAGTTTGAGTTAGAGACTCACCAACTTGCACAATTTCGTTGACCTCGCTGGTCAGCGGGGGTGCAGGGGGAGCAGGTTCGATCGTTTCAATAACCTTCACCTGATCCACCTGTTGAGGCACCAGGGTCTGAGGAACAGGACTCACGGAAATCGTACCGTAGATGCCCGCTTTAGCAATAGGCAGTGGCTGTGGTCCTGCTTCTCGAATCTAATTCGTATTCGTCCGTGGACGCGATCATGTTAATCATCGACCTTCGGATTAGCGTCCAAATTCCATGATTACTTACCTCTTTGTTCGAAGGCTGGTCCTTCTCCGGTGGTCCCGCGTTGTTAGCATCGTTCGGTGCCTAAAGAAATTCGACCTTCGGAATTAGTCTGCGAAATTTCGACGTGATTCGATTGCTTAACAGGATGGACATAGCTCCTACCTGTTTTAGATTCCCTGGCTTCTTTGCGATGATTTGAATGTTCGTGCGTCCTCCTCCGCTGACTCCTGCGTTGCTAGGTCCTGGATTGCTAGGTTCTGGATAGCCAGATCCTGGGCTGGGTGGTACACCGCTTGGTCCGTCGTTTCCTGTTCCAGCTGCAACTCCAACCCCTCGAACACCGGTGGTTGCACCCGCGAAAAGTCCACCCCTTGCGCGATTCGACCTTGCACTTCCGTCCAACATCCCTCCCAACCCGGCTGCAGCTTGAGGCCTTCCGTTTCCGAGACCAGCTCTCGCGTAGAGACCACCCCCTGTCGGATCAATGATTCCAAAGTAGAATTAAACGATCGACTTGTTTCAATCGATCGACGTATACGCTTTTTTCGCTCGCCAGTGAACTTCAGATCCGCGCGGCGTAAAAAGTTGTTTGTCTCAGTCGACGGACACGTTGGTCAGTTACTATGGCACACGGTTTCTATAAATAAATAATATGAGCTGCAATTCTATCGTAAGCCTGTCCAAGCACTTGGCTGATTTATAGACTCCTTATCCTTGTTCGACTCTTTGTTTTAGAGAAATTTATTGCACAAGTCAATTTCTGGTTTCTTTTGCATATTTATATTCCCCAGAGTGACATCACACTCTCATTCCGATCATCGGAGCCGAAAATAATCGAGAAGTCTCTTACGTAACCAGTTGCCTTAGGATAGAATGTCTTTTTATGTTATATGTTTCGTTATAGAGAAAACGGAATTTTATATATAAAATATTTAACTTATTCTCGTAAAGACGTGGATATGTAGAATAACGTTAAATCGTTAAAAAATTCCATCGATTACCGATTGCTTCGAATCTTCGTAGGACGTGCAAAACTAAATATCACGTGTCCATTTTTTTTCTCTGCTCAATTATTCAATATATTCGCCACTAGATTATTCTTCCATTTAGTATAAATCGAAGACGATTTACCGGTTCCGTCGTTTTATAATTAAGCAACTGTCCTTTATATCAACGACCGCATCAAATGTAGCTTCAAGGAAAACGAGTTTAAAGTTTGGCGTACACGGTGTCCCGGATTTTAACGACCAAACGTACCCTTTGGATAGATCAACCAATAAGTAAAGGAATCGGGGGCGAAAAAATCGCGCGTAAAGAAAAATAGTGTAGGAAATTTGACTAGCCAGCGTTTCCATTGTCGCCACCGAGTAATCCACCCAGGCCAGCCCCCGCCTGAGCACCCCAAGGTGTTCCAGCGCTCGCGTGAAGTCCACCCCCTGTTTTAGAACCAGTCAAAAGACCACCTAGACCTGCCTCGGCATGATAGCCCCCTAAATTGAACCTGATTCCGCCATTGGTGAATTGAATCAGTGGAGGCTGTGAAGAAAATTGAAAAGACACGCATTAAACTTGTCATTTAAAATATTCTTTGTCATCAGGGATCAGAATCGAAAGGGTTAACTAAATATTTAACTACTGCGATCACCTTTGCCCTGCGTGAGCTCTTATATAGTATATCGTCGATACAACAAACTGCACTTAAAAATATAATTCGCGGTGAACAATTCGAGCGTTTAGTGAAAGTTCAGCTTCTCCTGTAATTAACGAAATTGCGTTTATTATAGTCGACGTCAGCCCGGCCGATAGCAAAACGACTAATTATAATACAATCGTGACGCGTTCGTAAGTAAAAATACTTGTTCGAACGATAACGAAATTGAATCGAATATCGACGAAATTTCAATCAATGTTTATGGCGAGTATATAACTATCTCGACGAGCCGCCAGGCGCTTCCGCAATCCTTTCTCCGGTGTTAGTTGCGTTCGCGGGTTACCTAATGGTCTTCCTCCATCGCTGCTTTTCCTTTCGTGTTTTTATTCGACGGTTCGATCTGTCCACTCGCGATATATTTGTCGTTCGCTCGTTGTCGCGGCGACGGAAACATTCGACACGTATCGTTCGATCGTTACTCACCATTTTCACCGAAATTAGAAAGTCCGTAGCCGGAAGTCGAAGGAAATTCACGATGCGTTCTATAACGAAAGCGTCTGCGGCGTTCGAAAACGGTAACAGCAGTTGTCGGATGTCCATCGAATCGAGTCAGGGAATGCTAATTTACGTTTACATATTCCACCCAAAAAATTCTAATTATAGCCATTGCGCGAATCGACCGTTGGACCGGCGTCGTGTAATTAAAATTCCCGCGAAACGACAGGCGAATTCGATTCTCAAATTTTGTCTTTCGTTCGTTCCCTATGCAAAACTCGATTTGCGAAATAAAGAAACTCGTGCACGCAACAACAATTATGTATCGAGCAGGGTGAAAGGACGGGAATCGGCGTTCGAGGCCGTTTCGCAATTTTCTATTAAATAATTGTAATTTTTTGTAAACTCACCGCAGCGGATGCGTCCTGGTTGCCGTTTTCGTTGTTTTGAGGCATCCCGTTCACGAGAACTGCCAAACAAAGAACAAACACGCTAACTACCTTGTCGCACAGCATCTTTCTTTCAACTGACGCGCGCTTCGAGCCGCCCCGCGACTTACCACCGATTTCTAAAAAGACCTCGAAGCCATCTCGGGGCTCACCTCTTTGGAAGGGATAAGGTCTGACGCGGTCCAAGAAGAAACGAGTTGTAGAGCCGGTCGGTAACGCTTGGCGACTGCGAATTCGCAGACGGATTGCAAAGACAATCGCGTACTGGATGCATCGTGATTGCGGGGGTCAAGGTCGATGTGCATCGACGACACGATTGCGAATCATAGTTATACAGTTCCGTCGTTCGGTTGCGACAGCCACATCGGTCAGTGATTGACACGAGCTAGTAGCTTGCACAGTGAACTCAAAATTACAGAGAGATGCTCCAAAGTATATACAAAGAAAATTTATTCTTTGCATTTACTAAATCTGCGTATTAGCTACATAGATATCGTTGCAAAATTCCGTGTTTTTCCGTGCGGTCTAACAACAAGTGTCGCCTCTGTTCTGCTTCTTATGCACTATAGTAGAATCTCTGATTTTTTAATTAATAACTCTTGGGAAACATAATAGGAGACGGAATATTCCATAGAGACTCCGGATAATAGAATTTCCTGATTGTTTTGATAACAGAGGAGCAGTGGAAGTTCTACTGTACATTTAAGTTTATTAAATAGAACGATGACTGTGCAAGATCCAGATCGCGGAACGCCGAGTGAAAAACAGCCGTTTCGAGAATCGTGAAATGTAGAATTCTCTTACGGTTTGACGATCTTGTTTACGTAAAGCCAAGGGATAAAAAGTGCTGCCGTTAGCATTCTTCTTTTATAGGTCGACTGATGATTCACGACCTGTTTAACGGGCAAAGAAAACTAGATGCATGTAAATTTCTAAGATCAAAGTTGAATTAAACGGAAACGCGTTTCATGCTTCGCTATTCCTGTCAGTATAAGATTTGTGATTCATTTTTAAATGAGCCAGTAACGAGAATCACTGTTCCAAACGATACGTAGATAATGTTTAATCCTCCGATTGGCTGGCAGCTGCTAAAAGTACCGCTAATTTCGGAGTTTTATACGCGTGGAATGGCGATTTATTCAAGAGGATGTCGAGTCCGCGCATATCATCAACGCCCAGGTTCATCGAACTCGTTAGAATTTCAATGGATCGACGGTAGAATCGACAATGTCTCTGAAACGTTTCGTACACTTCTCGTTGGCCCACGGAAGCTATGATAAAATCGACGTTAGGCTCGTGTTCTTTGTTACTTCTTTTTGTAAACCTTGGTAGTCGAGGAAACTGCTAACGTGAATCATTCAGCCTTGCGCACGCTGTGTTTCTCATGCGTAAGGTAAGACATTATGATAACTGCGGAATAATTTAATACCACGCGACCAAGTAATTACCATTCGACGTGGAATTATGCGAATCTGTGACGTTCGAGTTGCGTGGAAGAAAGAATGGCACTCGTTGCGCGATCGGAGGGACTCTCGAACGAAAAGATTCAACCTTGTTTTGAGTTTGATCTGAATTCCTGCCGCGGAGATTGTTTAAACGTTCGAAGTCGCGTTTCAGCCACCAGGTGGCGGATCTTTCTTGCTTTTAAGTTTCATCCAAGCGTACCACGTGTGGAGACACTTTCCAACCGAGCGTCGGCATTGATACCGGTTGATAAACTTCGATCACAGACGAGATATATGAATAGACCTTTCACGTAATGTAATTTTTCGGCCGGAGTTTCTGGGGCCCCGGGACCCCATTACCATTTTCGTGTCACTCGCAACGTTATCAACAAATTCAGAAATTAACACAAGAGGAAGTGAGACAGAAAATAAAATTACATAAATTTTATTATTTTTTAACGGAATTAAAGCTGTAGGGCCTATCATTGGACATTAATCGATTAATTTCATTGGAGAAATCAATCGATTAAGAGTATTTAAAAATTTCAAGATTATTAAAATTCCTAAGGATGTATTTCATTGATACGTACACCGCAAATTCTCTATTTTTTATTTTAAATTGTAATACATCATTTATTAAAAAAATAACTCGGCAGTAACGTATTTGCGACTCGAAATCAGTTTAATCAGACTGTGCATCGGGGCCCCGGAAACTTCTCATTCCTCACTTTCGCACACTATGTGCGGCTCCTCGTAAAAAGTCTTTAATCTTCGTAATGGATCGGTTTTAATGGGTCGATGATCAACAATGACTAGCTTATGGTCACTAGTGGTCAACAGTGAGGTTGACATCGAGGTCAGCATTCCAGTGAGGAGCCAGAAATGGTCAAGAGGTGGGACCAATCGAAATAGTTTCTTCGTAGACAAGCCAGTCTTAACTGTTAACTCCAGCTTTGGCTCTGACTGGTCTCCCCACCCTTCCATCACCTTAGACGTATAAGCAGGGTCACTGCGAAGAATTCTTCAGTCGCGTCGCGGATTCGGGAGTGTACAAATCGCCTGAAGTGAACCGGGGACCTCTGCTGGCCGCTGCTGACCACTACTGGCCAGCGCTGACCATGGCTGACCAGGGCTGACCAATACTGACCACTGCTGACCACTACTGACCAGTGCTGGCTCGCGTTCCTGCCACTACTGACCACTACTGGCCACTACTGACCACTACTGACCAGTGCCGGACGGTGATGACTACGGTAAGAACTGTTTAAAAATTCTATCCCCTCTTCTATTCTATCGTTTGATACCAATTTCGTTTCAATGAACTGATTTTGCCTTGCTTGCCTAACTGACGTTGCTATAATATGAATATTTTCTTACTTTACAGCTGATCCAGTGGTAACTACCCTATATACTGACAACAAGTAGTAAGTCCACTCCACTTATTTATATTTTATTATTTTTATCTGTTTGTTTGATGTGAATTCAACTTTATTTATGTATCTGACTGCTTTGATATGTATAATATTGCAAGATATAATAATGTAATATTATATTCTTGCTCGAATTCTCGTAACATTCTACGGATATACTTTGTTTGATTTTTCCATTTCGTTTGATTGTTTGGTGTTGATTCAACTTGGTGTCTCGATGACACAATATACTCTGTTCAATTCCCTTTAGCTAGGTGATAGATCATTTTTAAGTGTTTAAGAACCTCCTTTTTAATACCTCAGCTTACAATGATGTTTCAGAGAAGCGATAAGTCTACCGGGCCAAACATGAACAAGACGTCTCAATGATGTGATAAGTCTACCGGATCTATGGACCTTGGACCTTTTGGCACGCACAGTTGGAAATGAAATCGTAAGGCAAGGGGTTAAACAAAATAATTTCTCGGTACAATTAAACTAGACTTAAGCTTCGACTGGTTGTATACGTGCTACCTTTGGCAAGTGTAGTGACCGCGGGTATGAATGTTACCCGTGAATAGTAACACATGTATATTGTTCTATCTGAGTATCTTTTGTTTAAAATTATAATCTTCTTGCACACCGCGATTTCCAAGATGACGAATGTCATAGTAGATTCATTTTTAATTTGACACTGATTTTAAAATGAATATATAATGAGTACATATACATATATGAATAGTACAACTTCCTCTCGTTCGCTTGTTCTCTGGTTCTCGCTTTCCGAGATTATGTCTCGACCGAAAGGATCGGAGAGTTTCGCTCGATCACCTCTGTTTGATAGAATGAAACATGTGACGCCTGTGTATTAGGTGTGATAGCTCTTACCGCTTCAACCCCGGTGCAGCTTGGTTCAGCTTAAGTGGGGCCTCGCCGAGCGCATATATTCTCCTCTTTATACGGAAAAGAGAATGACCTCCGGCGAGAGTTCCTGACCCATATCCGTTCTCGAGTACTAAGCGGGTCCTGTTGTGACCGTGTGTCCTCCAGGGCCCGGCGGTTGTACGTAGAGAGGTCCGATCGACGTGGGTCAGGGGCGCGACTTGCTTTTCTGATAATCAAGGCCGGGGGGGATCAATCTGATACCCACACTCACTGCACGCTTATGAGCACGTGTCGCGTCGCGTTTTATTCAAGCGTGCGATGCTTTTACACGCCGCAATTTTCAATATGACAAATATCGTAATATCGATCGAAAGTAGAGTCATGATTTTAATATCATTTATAATACTTATAATTATATTAACTTTAGAACGAGTGTCAAATTAGTAGCTTCCGATTGTTCTTTACATTCTTCGATAATTAAATTCATTTTCATAATTTAGTAGACGACTTTGGGTATCTTCGATATCGAGGATACCCAAAGTCTTTCTTTACTTATTAAAATATATCATTAGATTTACGTGCAAGAAGATATTTCGCGATAAATATATTTTAGAGTCAAAGTAACCTCGTATATTATCTACTATTTTTACTTTGTCACTGCACTTGCCTGTAGTTGTAGTATTTGTAGTTTTACAGATTCAGTGTTGTTCTCTTACTAATCTATTAAACAAGTTTCTGTTACAGAGCATATTCCTATGGAAGTTTTAGGTCTATAAAGGTAACAATTAAGAATTCTTACAATTTTGTTTGATATTGCTTTGTTCGTGTTTCAGGAAATCATCGTGGGATAAATAGAAGATAGAAGAAAGAAGAAAGAAGAATGTATTTCATGTATTTTGTTTCAAATTGCTCAATTTATGTTTTAATAATTTAGGTTTATAGTTAGGTAGAATGTAACGGTATGTTTCAGGAAATCTTCGTCGAAGGATCAACAAGGAAGAATATATTTACTATGTATTTTGTTAGATGATTAGATAGGTAGGATGTAAATGAATTTAGATTTATAGTTAGGCAGGAGTTTGATTTTCTATATTAATCATTATATCAGGCAGGCAATATTTTGGTCTATTTCTCTGTTTCGTTGATGAGAATTTAGAAACAAATTCTTTCTCAAAAATTCTTTCGTTGATTGTTTCCATCGTTGATTGCACTTTCGTTTCTTTCTTCTTCGACCAACGATTGTTGGTCACAGATTTTTATTAATGGAGGGTGGTTGGGAATCGGTTAGGGCGGGTCTCCATTCGCAGCAACCTCCTCGTGGTGAGACCTGGGTAATATTATTTAGCGTTTAATTAATAATCGTGTCACTCTTAGCTGGGTAATGCAATTATTAATTAAAAACTAAATATTATTAGCAAATTGGCTGCGATCCGCTTTGCATAGGTCATCATAAATATAGAGCTTCTTCGCTAGGCTAGTTTTGTTTCTCATTGATTCATCAAAGATTCTAGAGTGTTGTCACAGATGTGGTATAGAAGTAGATCCTTCATCCAATTTATTTTTGCAGCCTATTTTTCTGGGGTCTCGAAACCACATTACCATTTTCGTGTCTTTTGCAACGTTACCAACAGATTCAGAAATGAATTTTAATCTCTTCCATAGTCACCTCACATGTATTTACGCAACCACAGACGAGATATATGAATAGACCTTTCACGTAATTCACGTTTCATTATGGTATTTTGCTTATACATTGTATACGCCTACATAGGTCGGAAAGTCAAAAATGCCTGGGCAGTCGAGAATCTCGGCTCGAGATTATGCGAGATCGAATTTCGGCTGTGTTAAGAGCAAGAAGGATAGACTGACATTCGCCGCCTTTCTCGAATCCTCGAAGAGATACGAAACGCCAGAACTCATATACAAGGTGGTTGGCATTAGTGTGTGTAAGTGGTGGGGCAGCTCCCTTTTGGGCACGGGTCTGCCGTCTGATAATACTGCACTGTCTTTTTCAATCCCTCCCATAATCAACTCACATGTATTTACGCACACACTCAGCTGACTGCCCATCAATACTAATTCAGTGCCTAGTTTCTCAACTGACCGCCATCCATGAGAAGAGGCCGTTAAAATCAGTTCCGAATTTTCAGGTCGGTATGGCAGTCAGATTCGGCCGCGAAAGTCCATAAGGTGAAAGGTCTATTCATATATCTCGTCTGTGCTTCGATACTTACTCGAAACTATCGAGCAGAGGTTTAGTAGAAGGATCTGTAATACCCTTTAAGGACTTAGCATGGTTCGAGAGGTAATTGATCCTTAAACGACGCATATTTTGTACAAATTTTATTTGTGCACGGAAAAAATTACATAGATATATTACAAACAGACGTTTATTATTTCCGTGGTCCAGAGATCGTGGATCGACTTTTTGCGTGCCACGATATTAGTCATCGGTGTTTGCACAGTGTCGTTGAAATAATAGAACTGTAAGCTTACGCGGTCTGCTCCATACATAAACAATACCATTATTATCGATTGCATAATAAGTTTCAGTCGCGAGAATCTAGCGATTTATATTTAATACTGATTTGACATAAACGCGACTACGAAGCAGTCTATAATCTGTCCAAAGAGACGAGATGTTATATCTCTATATTTGCATAGAATATAGTGAGTCTAATCCATGAACCGACTTTAGCTTGCAGCTTCTGTTTTTCGTTGCTCAAGACTGGAAAGTTATTCTGTTGCTTTTGGGTGCAATTTTGTTCTGCAATGGGGGATCCTCCTCGAATCTGAACCTGTCCTTAGAGTTCGTGGTCGGAGCGATTTTATTCTGTATTCGCGAGTCGTCGTAGGCGTATTTGTTTGGCTCGCCCTCCTTCGGGGCGATCTTGTTCTGTATCGCGAATGTGCTGCTCGGTCTGGAACCATAAACTGTCCCGAATCCGGCAGTGATCCCGTGCCAAGCATAGTTATTGTCTTCTTCCACATTTTCATAGACCTCGTAAGTGTTCTGATTAGGGCCTGTTACTCCACCGTGGCCTCCTTGGTTGCCTAAAAAAGTTCATTTCTTTTTGTTATTCCTGTTAAACAAAATCGGTAGATCGGTCCTAGCCTCGGTGTTACGCGAGTTTCTAAATTTAAAAAGAGCACCGTACCTTATATCGTTTATGAAAAATCAGGACATGCAATTTAATAGGTAGAATAAAAGTAATTTTGTACGAACTTGGCTCACATAGACACCGAGTTTATGTATTTACAAACAGGTAAAATATTTACCCTGATTTCCATGCCCACCATGACCACCATGACCACCATGACCACCATAACCACCTAACAAACCGTGATTACCAACCAGAAGATTAGACCAGGCGTTGAGCCCGAACGGATCTTTGTTATGAACCATGATCGTCCTCTTCGTGTGTTGCTGTTTCAAACGTTCCTGTTGAATTTGCTCCCTTTGCAATCTTTGCTTTTCCCTTTGGGCTAACATTTTGTCCCTTCTCTCTTGTCGCACCTTCTGGAGTTCCATGGGATTCTGTGCCTTTTGTCCAGACGTTGATTTCACGAGATTTCCAACCGCCTCGAGAGTCGATATAGGAATCTACAAAAAGAATTATTTCGTTAGAAAGAGACGATCGCTTCCGTAAACGTCGATCAGTTTGACACCTGTAAGACGCTGTCGATGACCGGAGAATTTGCAGGGATGAACGACTGAGCCGCAGCAGCGGTTTGCCTGATCGCCGTGATCGGGATCTATAAAAAAATAGAACATCAATCGGAGTATCGAGAAAAGAAAGCTATTTACCACTCACGTTGAAGATGTTGTCTATCACGTGGCCATCTTGTCGCTTCACTCTCGAGACGTTAGCCTGTGACATAAATTACTGATAAAATTCTCAAATAAGAAAATAGGAACACGAGACCAACGTTTGCTTCTAGGCATCCATAGTGGTACAAATCAAAAACCGGTACAAATCTTTTTAACATGTGAAACAACATGTGTAATTAGCTTTACTAGCTCGAACTATTTAACTAAATTCTGCTATCGGTGTATAGGCCATTAAAAATGTAAATTTCAAAGTGCTTGACCTGTGTACAACTATTACTGCCAAGAGGCGATAGCATTGTTCTAAGCGATGATGTCACCGCGATTGTGAATTTCGGGATGCGCGACGGTAATCGAGAATCGCTCGTAAACAGTTTACGCGCCCACGTTTCTCGCCAGCTTTCTCTTCTCTACATATAAAGAGCGTCAAACGATTTTTAGCCAGCCTTCTATTAAGCGAAAGGTTAGCCTGTCTTCTAATTTCGCGTCGCTCATGCCTTTGTTGCGCGTTGAAAGGCTCTCGAAAGATTACGATTAGCTATCGTAAACGTCATAAACTTAACGTTCCAAAGACCAAATAAAAATTGAATTTATTTCTGATTTACAATTTACAATTTACAGTGAACAGATGTCAGAGAAGCTCTCTCTAGATCAGTACTGTCTTAGTAATTTAGATACACGTTATATGATTAGTGAATGCAATTGATGCAAAGATCTTACCCCCTCGGATGCAACGAGACAAACAACACCGAACACAAAGATTCTTCCAATCATTGTCGCGAATTCTCGGCGATGGTCTACGAACGATGTTTGCGATCAACGAACTGCAGAACCGATCGTCCATCCGGCGATCTATAAGGGTGACTGCAAGATCCCACGCCGAGCAACGACCAATCACGGTTCAGGATCCCGCGATTCTCGACGCAGTACTTTTGACCACCGGTCCTTTCTATTTCACGCAATCTTCGTACGCACGATCCGGCCCCTCCTTTGTCCTCTTTCACCTGTACCGTGTCACTTTTCACACCTATACAGCGGCGTGGGTGGAATCGGTGACACGGACACAGAAAAAGTGCATTTGCATAAACGTACGATGCGCTAGAATGCACTCTGCAACGCAGGATAGTTAACATACTTGTTTAGAATCGGATACACAGAGAAAAATATTACTTCGCGAACATATCCCTGAACGAAAAATGCAAGACAATGGCGTGATCAGGTTTGTAATCGAAACAGTACTCACCAGAATAGGCAGCAAAGGTTTAGATTCGAAAGAAACGTCGCACTGTTCTCCGTAAAAGGACTCCGTTGTTGTTCCCGTCGTTTGGCTCACGGGTAAGATGACCCACGGTGATCCACATTATAAGAGAGAGCCTCACGGGTCCCACACATCCTATCGACCAATCGGATACGACGCAAACACGAAGAAGGTGCTTTCTACTTACCTCGATTCGTGCTTCTCGAATTAGCATCCCGTCTGTCCTCTTTCGTTGATTATTCGCCCGCAGGTGTTCGCGATGATGTGGGTCGATTCGAGCCAAGTTACATAAATATCGGACGATGATCTTTTAAATGTGACGTAACTCGAGCGGGGACCTATGGTTTTCGGTGCGGTTTTGTAACGCCAAAGGTTACACATCGGTTACATCGTGTTCTTTCAAATCCTCGACTCTCGGTTGAAATTTTGCTTTTAATTCGAATAGAAAAATGGTCTTACAATTAATCGACTAACGTTACGTACAACGACGGGTACATTGAGAGCTATTCAGTCTTTGGCTACACGCTACGACACACCCCTATACAAATTTACACCCCCTGAGTCCTTGCTCTCAGTACGCGTTCGGATTGTCCCTCAGGAAACTGCCCACCTGGTTCCCCAGATCCTTCTGGAACTCTCTCACGGTGACTTCCGACTCCTACGAGACGAACGACTGGTAATTGAGATTGAAAAAAGAGAAAAATACGAGGAATTGCATAGATCGACTCACGTTTAAAGCGTCTTTCCACTCGATATTGAATAGTCTGACCAGTCCCAGGACGTTTCTCCTGATCAAAGTCTGCAGGCCGCTTCTGGTGAGCAGGGCGGAGGACTGGGTGGTCGTTGTGGGCGACGTGGTCGTCGTTTCCGTTCCATTGACGCCTGTCGTGTTCCTGTCGGCATCAACAGCCGTTAGGGAGCCGCTCATCATCGAGCTCTGGGTGGCAGAGTCCGGCACGATGCTGTTGTTGACGATCTCGCCGATCTGCTTGATCGCCGATCTGGTGTCGTTGATCATCTGAAACCAGAGATCGGCGTGCTACACGGGTTTACAAGGGCAAAATTTAATCTGGCTTCCTCTTCCCTTACTTCGAAGGTGATTCTAGCGAGGGTCCAGAAGAAGCCTGGCTTCTGTTTCCGGACCTCTCTGACGACCCTCTTCGTCTCCTCGGACATGACGTTTCCCCCGATCGCGTTCGTGTCGACGTCCTTATCGTTCGGGTCCTCCGACAGTAGTTTATTAAGAATATTCATGTTCTTCAAGATTTCCTGCTCCTTCGAGCTCCTTTCCGCGTCCTCCTCTTTCCGTTGGAGGTTCATCCGGTCGATCGAGTCTCCGCCTCCCTGATTATTGGCTCCAAAATCCTGGTAATCGTAATATCCTGCATGCAGCGTTTCTTCCGGTACTCTTACGTATCCCGTCACGTACGACGGAGGTCCTTGCACGGTTGGAGCACTGTATCGATCGGGAAACGCTTCCACCGGGTGCAATCGAGGATTCACAGGGTTGTACACGGAATAGCTAGGCCAGTAATCCTGAGGATCGCTCTGAAGTGGTGCAACGAGGCACAGTAGGAACAAACCAGCCACGAGCGTACCGATCGACGATGCCTTCATCTGCAATCAAACCCACAGAACTTTCAAACAAGCTACTCGATCTCCTTTCCAACGTTGCTGCTATTATCATACGAGTATTAAGCTCCGATTAGGAATATTCTTATAATTCACGCGTGCAGGTTTTGCCGGCTTGGAAGGTCAACGAGCTCTACAAATACATATTAATATCCTCGCGGCGATTCCAATACGCTCCGATGGTTTCTCGAGCTACTAACCGTGCCGCGTTTTCATCGAAAATTTCTGGAAACCTTTCGAAAGTGCGTGGTACTTGCTTTGCGAAGAATTCGTCGACGAGTGCAGCTCGCGCGTTATCGATTCAAAAGGACGATCGCTGGGGGAAAAGAAAGGAGGAGTCGGAAAAGCGTGAAAACCACGACTGACGGAGGGCGTTTGCCATTTGCTCGCTAAACGTTCGTTTTCCCCCCGCGTAATTCCCATCACGTAAGTTGCGCGATCGGTCGCCAGGAAAATGAGCAAAAATGCGACTAACGAGGTCGTTTATATTCGTCGCGCGAGCTCCAGCGATTTAAACGGTATTTATCCATTAGCCAACTTACATCTGCGAAAACGCGCGTCCCGCGGAACTCATCGGCGCATCGTGGACGCGCGAAAATTCAAAACAAACGGTCACGACGCGCGAAAAACTTGGCTCGCGCTTTCACTGTTCGTACTCCCGGCGATATCGGAGATACCAGTTAACGCGATTGATATAAAACGCGGAGGAATCGCGCGATTCGATCCGATGGTCGCGAGTTATGGGCCCGACTGTCCACCATCGAACGAATTTCGACTTTTCGACGGTCCCCGGGCCTTGGGGTTTCACCCTGCACTCCATTTTGACGCGCGTTCGTGACCTGGGAAAGACGCGTGCAGGGAATTCGCTAGCAGCGACGTGTTTTCACGGTTTCGAAACGATCGATCGGATTTTCGGGCGTTACGCAACGGCGTCGCTTTCCATCGCATCGAAATCACCTGAAACCAACGACAGGGAATGTGGATTTTGCTTTAGAAACTCTTAGAGACATAGAAATAAATAATTAACATCGAATCTTACCCCTTGTCACCGCAAGTCGATTTTCTTGCCTACTCAAAGATAGATCCTCCCTCCTGATAGATCCCAGCGTGTCCAAGTCGACCAATCTATTGCCTGGCGTTATTTTGTTCACGTTGCGACAACGAACATTTATTGGTTTGTTTCGCGTTAATTTTTACGATTCGTCGACCAATTTCTTAGCTTCGAAACGAATTACGCAACCGGCGGCCATCGCGTAATCCGGCGAACTGAAGTGAAATGAAAGCTGCGCCGGGACTAGATCACTTCGTAAATTAATACACGCGATAATTGGTATAGGAATGGTCGGAATTGCATCCGCGATGCTTACGAAACGACGTCGATGCACATCGTTCACGGTGCAGAGTCCCCTGCATTACGCGACCATCGATGCGGACCACTGGCGCCCACGGCCACTTTCGAACCCGTCTTTGACAGCATAATCGGCTATTTCCTTCCGCGTAAACTGCACGCGCGATTTAAAGATCATCTCCACGCGCGAATTCTGTCCCGCACAAAAGACACGTATTACTCGGCTGTCCCCAGATGCGATTGTCTCCCCTTACGTGTCTGTCGCGATTAAACCGGTAGCCCAGCGACTTTCTACGGAAGTGTCGCGAGAATTTCTATCGATCACGCGGTTACGCGAGAGACTATCGGTCGATCGTACGATCCACTGGATCGACGAACTCGGTAGAAGTGCAACAGAAGCAAAATGGACGTGGAATAGTCGCGAAACCCGCGATCTTATCGGTTATATCGCGGAAAGCCATGGTTCGAACGCGCTGATTATGTTCACTGGAACTCGATTGCGCAGGGATGCACTCGTATTTTCACCGCGATTATTTCGACGATTACGAAATCACGGTGCACGGAAACTTTTTGCAATCGAGAGACCGGTCGAAGCGCGTGCTGCGCGGAGCGGATCGTTCTGGCGTCAAAAGCAAAACCACGTGGACCGTCGAGCGTCTCTGTCGGCCATCTTTCACTTTCACTCCCGGACGTCGCGCGACCACGTGTTTCCTCGAACATAAATCGACGGCGAGCGTCGCCTGCAGCCGCTACTCCGCCTCGATCGCGATCGAAGCCACACGCTTCTTTGCGTCTTCGAAAATTCATTCTCGCGTCTACTACCAATACGAGATCCCTCAAATTTTCGTTTACAGACATTGGGAAACTGCACGAGAATTAATTCACTTCTATCGCGTTGATATCTCGAGCCAACAATAGAAAGCTCATCATTGCTGTTACTTTCTTTATTTGCTAGAGTAATGAGGCATTCTTAATCGTACACTGGTACCTGTCAAAACATCAAATGATCAGTTCCAGGCGAATTCGTAAAGGCAATTCGCACGGTCTACTTGTCGCGTGGCCTTCTCTCTACTTGTTACGTTTTGTGACGAAACTTGATAGCCGGAATGCACGCAAACGGCTGTCAAAATCCCGTTCCGTTCCCTTCGTGCATCGAACGAAAATTTCTCTCTGAGCAGAACAAATATTTGCTCGTACGTGTTGTCACAGAAACGACCTACTCTCCCAAGAGACTCTGCTTTCCGAGGTAACCAAGATAGGCTCGAGACATAGGCGCGAGAAAATAATAAAAGGAAGGTTCCAAATATGTGAGTCATCGGGAATTACGAGGATACACATACGTGGTGGATGTTGCGCAACGCGGGCGTCCACCTGTCGTGGATCAGTGATTCTCATCGCGTGAGAAACGCACAGAAATTAATAATCGACGTCATTGCACTCGAACTCCGTAGCTCCGTCTACTTACTTTTATTTGTTTATTCTTCGCTCGTCGCTCGACTCCTGTGGCCTCCGTTCGCGGGACCTTACGCAATTTCTTATTATCCTGTCGCGTGGAACGGAGTCTGCAGCCTGTGAACCTGCGGACAACAGCGAAAGCAATTTTTTCGAAGGCAATTCTTGTGAAATATCGATGCCAGAGAACGAATTTCACGTCGGCGGACCGTTTCGGGGTCCTGTAATTTTCTCGCGATTGGAACTTACGACAAAGAGGGATGTTTAACCGAGTGGAAGAAAAGAAGAGAGATAATTCCGAATTCGACGCGAGGACCTCGAGACACTTAGACACTTTGCAAGAACTGAATGCAATCGTGTCTCGTTCGGCGGTAAGAAGGTGCAGAAGAAAAAGTATCGCAAGGTGTAATTTACGGTATCGATCGCGTGCTAGAACGATCGGCAATTTTTCTCTGAACGCAATGGTCGAAAGTGAAAAAAAACTGAAATTCAAGTTCTTGTATCTTGAAATGTTAACGAAGGAATCTTCCTATTCGTTGTTTATTCATGCGTCTCGTTACGAAATCGCGCGTCGATTCTTAGATAAATCTCCGATGCAAAGTTCGAACGAAATTTCGGCCACGCGTTGTATAATAACGCCGGGTCCGTGCTTACACAACGGCCACGTAATGGGTTATGAAACGGTGACCGCAAACGGTTCGACCTCGATGGAAATTTCGGAATTCGGTCAGTGCTTCTACGTGATGGAAAATGGACGAGTTTATTCATTTTCGTTTGTATATCTCTCTGGCGGTAAAAACAAATACTCCACTTACGATAGAAATAAATAAAAAACGAAATTTTCATTAGCTTCATTATATTATCGCTTAACAATTACCTTCGTCGACCAGCGTGTCGAAAAATGAAGAATAATTTCTCGCTGATAAGCTTATCGCTTATCGTCGTGGCTGACTCACCCAAAAGTTGCCTGCAATTCAAATTTACAACGTCAGAACTAGTTTCGCGTGTATTATATTTATCGAACGAAAACTGTCAGAATTCCGAGAGCCCATTAAGTGTCCAGTATCTCAATTACCGTCCCTGCCTCGCGTGCTACGGTTCGAAATTCGCGATCGCGGTACCGTTCGATCGATACACACTTGTCTCTTGATCGTTACGACGCGCAACAATCTCTGGAACGCACCGAACGGGTCACACGTGGCGAGCAAACGCTCGAGAACAAGTGCATCTTGCTGGACAGCGGAATCGACACTAACGAGATGAGTCCCTCCGCCTCTCGATGTCTCGAATCAGCCTCGAAGGTCGTTCGTATTTTTACGAAAGATCTTACGACGCCATGGCTACGGTACAAATTTACGAAATTCTACCGGCTGCTCGTCCACCCTCCCCACCACCCTTCGTACGCCCCCCAACGAGTCAGGAATCATGTCGCGGATGAAAAATTCCGCTCCGAGATCCGCTCGGTGACCTTTCTACGTGGAAAATTTGGTAACCGAGAACAGCCGACTCTGACGATTTTTTTCTCGATGGATCGATTACCTAAATAAAAACCGGAGTCTTGAGGGACAGTTATTTTACCATTGCTATGACTTCCAGTAAACGCCAGCGAATGGCAACCCGACGAGCACCAGTGTGCAGCACGAAACAGCTCCTCGGGCGATTCTAATAGCCAGCACATGAGATTCTTAACCAAATGAACTTTGCAGAGTTCAATAGAAAGTTGCAGCAATAGTTGGATGGGTGTAAGTTTCGCGTATTCGTGAAATGCACAACCGGATTCGTACGATTTCTGCACGCTTCGTAAAATAGCTGTGTCGCCATAGAGCATCGATGACAACAATGCCGAGTACTTTGTACCTTGATAAAAAGTAAACGCATGGTTGTCAGGAATCAAGAAAGTAGAACGAACGTAGCATGATAATTGCCCCATAATTCATCTCGCCTATCGATGCCGGAGGATGTTCGAAACTGGGTCGTCACGTTTCATCGATAAGCTTCGAACGCGTCGCGGCGTCGGCCAACATCCTGCGATCTTCCGTTGCGTAACTCGCGTGGCTCGCGTTCACAACGGGAACAAAGTTCGTCTAATTTTTACTCCTACATTCCGACGAAGGACACCGATCGTTCGATCTCCATATTCATCCTTGCGTCGTTTGTTTTTTTATAGCGCTCACCCCTTCGCCGGTGAAATCGCTTAAACGTTCGAACTTTGAACCGCTCGGGCACGAATGTAAATCGTCTACTTTCTAAATTATTCGTTAAAAAATATTAACGCTCCTTCCGATTGGCTGGACAGAGACTGCAACACGAACGACAGGTAACACGTTCTAAAGATATATATCATCCAGCGACACGCTTTCAGGCCACTTCCAACACCTGTGCTCGGTTTCTTCCCCAATAGTCCTGCGTAACTGCAAACGATACGCACGAGGAAACTTGCATAATTTCGACGTTTATTTGGCGCGAGCCTCGCGTTGCGTTCGCATTCCTTTCCGTTTCCCATTTTACCGAATGCCTGAGTAATGCTTTCACCGGACACGGAAGTCTGGAGGAACGATTAATGCCGGTTTCCTTGATATTCGATTTTATTGTTGCGCGATAACGAGTGTTACGCGCGTGACAAATTGATAGTTGAAACGTACGAGTGTTACGTACGGGCGGGCTGTCGCTGACAACATTTGATCGACGTAGCAATCATCGGAAAAACGACGAAATTATAATTTATCGATCTAGCGTTATGATAGGCATCGATTTAGCTTCCGTGTTTCTTCTCCCGTCGCAGGTTCTGGTTACGAGGGATAACTTTGGGTTTTACGTGTCGTTATTAAAAAATTATGATCGTTTTATTGGCTTCCATTCTGAAAGTTCGTAAAAAACAGTTCGATAGCGGCGATCGCAGGAAGTATAAAAAATTATTACACATCGCGGAGTCGTACGATAATTACAAAACAGGCATTTTTATACGATAATATTGAGAAATCCATAACGATCTGATCGAGCATCGCAGGAAACGTCTCAAACGTTTAGTTGCGCAATAAACTTTCGCACGAAATGCTCCTAAACGTCAGAATTTTATCGGATGCATAATCACGTGCGTGGATTTACATAGCCCCAGTTATCTAGAAAGTATCTCGCGAGTGTGAATGCAACCTCTCGTTAAAAGACAAATTGCACCGCGTTTTTTTTTACGAGGAAGCAAGTAACGAGGGATTCTTGTCTTGTAAAAATGTTAACTCGCACGTTCGACACAATTGGCAACTGTTAAATCATAGCACGCGTTCGTCGACTGTTCCCGTGTACAATTTGGAATGCTTATCAGGCAGTTTTGTAGGAAGTGTCAGGCCTTAACTAAAATACTACATCGTTGTACACGTGTCTTGAACAGCGGCACGTGACCACCGAACAATCGCTCTCGCGAACGTGTAATTTTATGGCAAACCGGCGAGATCTCTCCCGGTTGATACGTACAATTCGTAGAAGTCGTATCGATCATCCGATAACAGTAATTGTTCGATGATTTTGCAACGCTATGCACGTATACCATGCTTAAACTATCGCCAGTTGCGTGATTCGCGTACAGTTTTCTTCGTTAATATTCGAACGTCACAGTAATTTGTTGCTTGGACATATTAAATGACTACGACGATATGGGTAAAGTGAAAAGATTGATTTGGTTAAATATAAGCAGCGTACACGACGATAAACTCTGGTTTTTACGTAAAAGATAGCATCGAAAACGTTTTCGAGCTGTACATAAACGATAAATAATTGTTACAGATATTGCCACACGCACTGTCAACGATGGCAGTACCTCATTACAGCGTTTTACGGCGCAGACATTAGAATCGACGTAGAAATGACGCACACGAGCATAAAAAATCCGCAGCTAAAATAAGATAAATGTTCCTGTTACTTCGAAAACGAGTTTACGCGTGATACAAAAATATTTTCCATGTATTTTAAGAAATGTCCAAAGTAGGAACTCGCTTTCTGCCATGGTTGACAAGAGTAGCTCGAAAATAGAATAGGCCATTCAAGTATTTTGAAAAACATATTTTTTCAGTTCAGATAAGCCGTTATGGAAACGTGTCAATTAGTCTGCCTCGTTTATCTAGGAGGCCTGTGTTTAGCTACACCTATCATTTGATTAGAATACGATTTTCCAATGTTTTTTGTTTTATATAATTACGAAGGTATCTATTATTATTGTGTTAACTATTCATTAAATTATGACGCATTTTGCGCCACAAAAAAGGGATCACAAGCTGCTCCTATCACGCATTAAAGTCTCTCGTAGCCAGATTTAACGCGAAAATCTGATCATCGCCTGTTCTTACCGCGCATTGAAGTCTCTCGTAGCCAGATTTAACGCGAGACTCGGAACATCGCCTGTTCTCACCACGCATTGAAGTCTCTCGTAGCCAGATTTAATCCATAACTCTTTCTACCAGAACGGTGTTTGTTTAACTTATCCTTTATACGATCTAGCTTCCTTTAAAAGGTCCTTCAGTGTTCCTGAAGTGTTTATGTACATTTTACTTTGTAAAGCAACAAATGCAGAGGTACTGTGGCATCCGAGAACGAAGAATACTAACTGTACAAAGGTCTCCAGCACGGAATTCGTTCCGCGGAGAACCGTCCTCGAGGACAAATTGCTTAATAAATATCGCTAGTTGTACCTAAGGTTCTTCCGTTCCGTTTCTAAGTTATAAATCTATCTTTGCGTTGCAGACTAAGTTCGTGGATCATTGAAGTCTTCCCAGGTCGATCAATGTCCTCGTTAAAAATCCCTGAAGTAATCGTTGAGCTATTTTCGGCTGTAGAGCCTAGAGTTTTCTCTTCTAGTGAGGATCGTCGGACGGTAGACCCTTGATGGCGAATGCTCCACGGAAGAAGGGCTTGAAGAGCTCTAGGAACGTCTGTGTTCGGCGGGCTGAGTTCTGAAAAACGTGAAAAAGATCGGTGTTCGTTGGAAAAACGGGTGTCCGGAGTGTCGCGGGGCGTCGATCGAAGCTTAGAAAGTCAGCTGCGCGAAGTCGAAATTACTCGTAGTTTGATATAACCGGTATCGAACGTTCTTCTTTTTCGTTTCTACGAGCAACATATTACAGTTCAGACGTCCGCTGTCGAGATCGTCGCACTGTTAATCCGTTGCGATTAATGCGTAAGGAAACACGGCTAGATTTTGCAACTACGTCGAGTGAAGGGTGACACGTTTACGCCTGTTAGTTGATCGGGGACAAAAAAAAGAATAAAAAAACAGAAATCGATATCAACCCGAGCACGAGCAGAGTATCGCGAGGAAATCTCGACAACGCCCCGCGACTTTCGAACGGAAATACGTTTCGTCTCGTCTCGACGGCTGTTTCGCGGTCGAAAAGTCGTTTCGACCGATCGAAGTCGCCGTCGATCGATTGCCCGAAGCAACGGGATATCGGTCCCGCTGCTGGTGTCAACTTACGAGTATCACGCTAGTGAGGATTTTGCTGATATCGGTAATTACGTTGAAACCACCGCCGATCAGTGTCGGCGGTACGTCCAAGGACACTCTCGTCCTATCGAATTCGGGAATATCCTCCGTGGTAGTCGCGATCGTTCCCTGAACACACACAAAAAACAGCCAATGATAGTTTACCTTTCACAATGATTTTTTTTCCATGCTCCATATGGCGGTCTCGTACAAGGAGTCGTTTCTAAGCGCGTAATATTTATAGCCCGACTTTGCGAGCGCACATTCTTGCACAGGATCTACGCTTCGACGCGATTAGTAATCGATGTCGCGGGAAAAATTCTGCCTTGCGTCTGGCGGGCAAGAAAAGTGGAGTCGATACATGCAATGAATTTGTTTCATACGATCAAGACTTCCTTTTGATTTAAAACGTCTCCAGAGAGGGACAGGATGGGAGAGAGGACGTCGTCGGCGCTAGCAAAAGATTCGGGTACACGGCTCGTACATAAAAAATAAACGTAATCGTGAGTTTATTTGACATCATCATTATCACCATCCATATCATCATCGTGGTCTATACTTAGAGAGTGTAGATAGTGTATTTACATCGTTGACACAGCGTCGAGGCTCGCGAGAAAAAGGATTCTCGCGTGAAAGATTACTCCTAAACCTATTTACAGCTTGCGCGGCGCATCGTTGAATCGATTCGTGGTTACTTCTCGATGGCATTCGTGTATCACGCTAAACTTAGATTATAGCCGGGGTGGGCTAGTCACAGAGGGAGGGAGGTCCTGCACATTTAATGGCCCAGCTAGAAAGAAAAATCCATATCGTACAGTTCTGTCGTAGTTGGGAATGAGATTTTACGTCGCGTGTGCGTGTGTTCCTTTTTGTTTTCTTATTGCATCGCGTGCGTATCGTTTGCTTTATATGCGCGCCAAGGATCCTCTGTCAAGCGTTGCTGATCTCTGGCCCTTTTGGACGTGCCCAAAGTCCAAGGTCCAACCGTTGCACCCTCCGTTTTTTAAGCCGTTTAATACGCCGCTGGCGGTTGACCGTATTCGTACTGTTTGCGTACATAACACTCAATTTAATTGCCATGTTTAGTTACGACACAGAGACGGAAAGAAATTCTGCGCTTGGAGGAGTATCTCGTCCGAGAATCTTCCAAGCGATTCCTCGCAGGAGAAGAAGTTATGTTAGATTAGTAGCGCCCAAATCCACCGGAAATCAAAGTTACAAGCAACCTTCGAAGCAAATTTATGGCGAGAGATTCCATCCGCGTTAACGGTGATCGTTAATTATCGATGCGTTTTGCAATACGTTTGGTTAAAAGAGGCCGTGCATGCATTACGAAACAATTTACAGTATTAATGTTTATTCAACGACTGGAAAATAGAAAATAATATCGGAAGCCTCGACCGAATGAAAGCGAGAGGAATAGAGGCAAGGTCGCGTTTAGAAGCTGAGTGTTTCGATCGTTGAAGTGAGAAGCAGAAGACGAGTCAGACATAGAAAAGACGGAGACGATAGACAGTTAGTTTGTTCCTACCCCTCCGCCTAAATTGGCGAACGCTCCGAGGTTAATTCCAGCGCTGGCGTCGGTTCCCTTTACGTCGTGACCCGCGGCGTTGTTTTGACTCAACGACGACAGGCTGCTAAGCTTCGAGCTCAGAAGACTCCCTAGGATCCCGGCGGTGCTCGATGCCCCGCTGTTGCCTAAATGTCCTAAATTTTACAAATATATTCTTCAGACTTCACGAAACGAATCTTTAAGCGTAGGAGGACAGTGTTCGAAGTTTAGAGTCTCGAATAGGTTTCTAGAGTAATGTAGTTTTGAAAGCCCTCTCACCGCCAAGGCTCGCGCCCGCAGACACGTCCGGTTTCGCCGCAGCTCCGGCGGAAAGGCCGCCGACTATCGAGCTGAGTGGCGCCAATTTCGAAGCGAACGCCCCGGTCAAACCGCTCTTGGCACCCGACAGGAAGGTCGTGGCGCTGTTTATAACGGGCCCGACGCTTCCGCTGGCAGCCTGGATCTTAGCAGCGACCAATTCGCTGATGAACTTCCCGGTGGCTGAGGTTTTCCCGTCGATGCCGTACGCGGCGTTCTTCACTTTGTTCGCGTCGTCCAGCACCGCCAGGGCTTTGGTCTTCGAGTCGATGAAGGAATCCAGTTTCTGAAACCGATAATCGGGCCGTGACACCGGCGACACCCTATATGCTACTCATAGATCATCGTCTCGTCTATCTTACGCCGAAAACAAAGTTGATGATCCCATTGGAGACGCCCAGCTTCACGATACCGATCTTCCTCTTGTCTCTGTCGCTTCTCTCGTCGTCCGCCGCCTGATCATCGTCCGCTTCCACGATGTACACCTAACGTAATCGGTACATTCTTACTGATTTTCAAGTCTGATCGAGCAACCGGGGAAAGGAGAGAAAGGAAGGCATGGCTCGTCGGGGATTCGATCGGGGAATAGAAGTTTGACCGTCGACCACGTGCACCGCGACGTAGAATTTTCGTTACGCGGTTGTATCCGGCTCCGCGTGTCGAGAAGTTAGTCAATCGCTTTCACTCTTCGCTCCTTTCTCGAGATCGCGGCTCTTTTTCGTCTCCCGGGTCGCGTTGTCCCACGTCCATGGGCGAAGATCGATCGTAAGAATCGATTTTGGACGCGCGCGTGCCGCGAAACACGCCCGGTTCGCACGTCTTGCTCGCCATGGGACGATAAAACTTCGAAACGGGCGCTTTCACTTTCGCCATTCCCGACACGTCCCGGTTTATGAGTTACATTTTGATTTGGTCGAACGTGTGTTTCGCGCAATTTCATACGTAACGATTACCGGGCTGCCATACTCGTCGACGTTTGCACCGCTGCACGGCGATCCGTCTTTCGTAGGAGAGGGATTTCGGGGTCTCCGGACTTTCTAATTGATCCACCGACGCGTAGACGACTCGAAGAGGTTCGTTTGCGAGACAGAGACGTTCGTCGATGTTTTCAAATCACTGTTTCGATGGAACGGAATTTTCATTTGAATCGAGAGCGCGTCGAAAGGAAATTAACGAAGCTCTTACCTCGTTGAGCGGACTTAGATCGTCCGTTTCCGCTTCCCTCTTGACGACAGGACTGGAAGCGACCAACGCAACCACCGACAGGCCAAAGAGCACACAGGTTATCCTCATTTTGTTCCCTCCTCGTCCGGTTCCTGCGATTCGGTGTGTTTGCTCTGGGGGGAAAACGAACGTAAACGAGCGGATCAACAGGTTTTCCGATTCGGATAAAGCGACACGCGAAAATGTCAAGTGAAAGGAACCCGGGGCGAAAATTGACTCGAATTCTCCGTGCACTGACCCTTTTTTCGTGTCGCGTAAATCTAGGAAACGAGCGACCACGATCGATCGTTTCGTCCTTGCGAGCGTTCGAAGTAAAAGGTGTTTCCGAATGCAGCGCGGAAACGTAGCAATCAACGTCGGAATCCGACGTGACAGATGCGATTACGAATCGTTTGACAGCTCGTCGACAGTGGTGTCTCGAAGTCTAACGCGTGGAAACTACGTTGAAACGGTGAAATTGTGAACGAAACGATCGCGAGGATGGTGCGGAACGGGTGGCGATGGACGACAGTCCGCGCGATAAAGCTGTCAACGATGAAAACAACGTCGACGTGTGACGCAGTCACGTGGGCACACTTGTTGACAGAAAAATAACGAACACGACGTGTTTGTGATCAACTTACGAGCAATGCGTGTGCGGTGGCGAATGCGCGAGGAGATGTGTGCCTGACGGAGCGCGAGCCTCGTTTGAGGACCACGGTGAAGGAGATCCCGATGTCTTTAGCCGGCCGAAGGGGAACGAAGGCGAGCATGTGTGCCCCTTCGAGAATCGAGAATCGAGCTTCGAGAATCGCGGGCCTCGCCTGACGGCAGGTGGGGCACGTTCGATTTCCTCCGCGAATCCCGCGCAGCCTCGGTCTCGCGGCATTTGAAATCGCTGGATCTGTCCCGCAGAAGGGATCCCGGCGTGCCGATACGCGTCATTACGCAATCCCGACACAGGGGGAAGACGGTCTCGATCGACGTGGTAGGAACACGACCTACGGACTGTCGCGGGGAAGCGACAACTTTCAAAACAGATCTCCCGACGCGGTGACAAAATCTGAACGCCCGGGGGGCAGTAAAATCGAAAATGGCGCAATTGTTCGACGGCGAAAGCGCGAAATCGAGCCGGTTGCGCAGTCAAAAATGTTATTTTCATAGCTCGAATCGGTTTAAAACATAGCTCGGTGGCAGTGTTCGTTGGGGCAAACTCGGCTGCATAAATTAGGAATAACTTAGATGTTTTTTAAGGATAGTTTAAATGTAATTTGTATGGGGCGATGCATGGTTATTAATTTTATCGCTCGTGATTCGCCTCGCATATATATTTTGTTTCGCCTTGGGCATTGGACCTGAATCACCTGTTAAATAGTCCCTGTAATCGTTGCTTTGATTATTTATTATTATACCAAACGATATCCACCCATTATATAAAGTTAAAAATGGAATATCCAAACATGTTTCGCTATTGAAAGTTATTGGTTGAGCAGACCTCAAAGATCATAGATAAATATATTTTAGGTGCTATAGAATTCAGAGAGAAACCACTGAAAGACTGTCCAATTTACGCAATGGACCAAACTCGTGGCATAAATAAATAGTAAACGCCAGTTGGTTGCTATTCTCCAATTGTTTCCCACTTCCACTATATTTTATTAATTTTTTTAAACTCCCCTCCCCCCTCCGGTGTATTTACATAATTCTCCAACTAACAAGGAAAGCGAGACCAGCGATCGTTATATAATTAAACATTTATACGCGCGGCGACGCGTTCGATTCTCCCGATCGAGCGATCGGCCGCAAAAAAGGACAAGCGCCTAGATCGTTCGATCAATAAGTGCTCGCTATCGTCGCATTGATTATCGAGAGCGTAGCCTGGCAGCGCGATTGTCGTGTTGCAATTTCATTTTCAAAGACCGGTATGGTGCAGCGTCGCTTTCTCGTAGGCATTATCTCATACGACGAGCCATCGTAACGACGATTACGCAACGTCCAGTTTCACCAAATTGGACCATTCGTGTTCCTCGCTTTACATATTGCAACGCGGAACGCGGCCGTAAGGTGACAAAACACGGACGCGTCGCGATCTAATCGCGGCTAATTAAGACGCCGGACGAAACTCGTAACGAGCCGCGAAATCGCCTCGAACGACGTTGCTACGTTGTTCCCTGCAATTAATCCCGGGTTAACCGTCGACGTTTTCTTGCTCGAAGCGGTCGTTTCGTTTCGCGAATCGACTTTTTACTCGCCATCCACCGCAAATCGCCGCGGTTATTTTTACACCCGTTATTTACGATTACCGAGCGAAACGGGGTCCATTTGGCTAGCAATTATCGCGCTCGGTCGGGTCGATCGTGGGGAACCTAATCGACACAAACTGTACTTTCACCTTGACCATAATCTTGATGATGCTATGGAGTATCGGGTCGTCTTGGACTGAAATTAACCGAGACGAATGCGCCGCTTTAGCGCCAATATTTACGTAAGCATATCGAAAGGGGCTACTTCAAAAAATGGATGGATAACTAGTGTCAATGTCTCTTCTTTTACTTTCGATTCGCTTCAAACGTCGAAACAAAGACCTAATTGCGCAAATGCGCTCTGTAATAGACGTTATCACGAAATTGGAAAGCGAGTGTTGGCCGACAGAAAGGATCAAGGTTGTATTTGTCAAGTTTGTTCTCGAATGCACCTGTAGCGAGCATCGACGCTAAGTAGGCCCAATCGTTGACGCTAATGGCGGCAATATGGGGCCATACGTGCTCGCGTTACCTTATCGTACTTTTTCTCACCGAGGGCGTTGCGTAATCGTCACGGGTCACTTCCCCGCGATTTGCATGCGTTACGGGTTCAGAAGATCCTCTGGCGTGGAACAGATTACGAAAACGTCGTCGTCGAGCATCAAAACACGCGTAATTCAATTTTCAAGGCGATCGCGAGCAATGACATTTGTGGAAGAAGATACGAAAAAAATTATTTAAATCCCAGTGCAAGGAGGGCTACTCCATCTTGGCGAACGTTTGCGCAATAAACGCCGCTGGTTCCAGTTCGCGATCTCGTTGCTCGTTTTTATTAACACTAATCACGTACGGAGGAAGAGGTCGATTCTATGGAAACGCGTTACGAAAGTGTTCTTTCACGGTCGGCTGTTGTTTTTATAAACGAATTAGAATTCGCTCCACGGGGATATTCTATATTATAATTAAATCCAGGAAATGATTTGCATATCTGGATCTGGCACGTGTCTAAAACGAATCCGAAACATTTGTTTCGACGCATCGAAACATAATAGAAGACGATTGCTAAATTCGTATTCGTTGAATAATTTATAAGGCTGGCTGGATCTTCGTTAATGTCTCTGAAATATTCATTGAGAGGCTATCGATTTAATCTCTACATTAAATCGTTACACGTTGACCCGATAACGTTGCACGTCGTTAAAAAATTCGAGGACTGTTTAGAAAGGAGTCGATATTTTGCAATCGGTTGGTAAATGGGAAAGATGATACAACGGACGACGTAGAAATTGATAATATTCCGCCAATCGCGATCCATACGCAATCCGTGACGAGATAAGTGGTGGAAACGAGCGCGTAAGTAGTACAGCTATTATGTGGTCGGACCGTCGTCGTTTTCCACTCGTCGTGTGGTGCCACACCGCGTCCGGATGCGTAAACGGACCAGGTATTTCAACCGCCAATATGTAGCCGTCGTTAACTTTCCAACCTCAGAGAGAGAGAGACGAGCCAATGAACAAACGAGAGACGGGGAGAGAGAGATATTTCTGGTAATTCGTTCGATGGAAAAATAAAAAGAAGCGAGTACATCGGAGAAGCCGGAAGACGTGCACTTATGTAAAATGCTGGAGGGTATCGTTTGGCCAGCGCGAAAGTCGATAGCCTTCCTGAAAGAAACAGGATGCCCCCTTCTTTTCGTGAACAAAACGGACGTTTTTGCGGGCCCTCGAATAAAAGTAGAGTACCGAGCAAAACGAAACGCGTACCCGAACCACGACGGTAAGAACGTTGCGCAACGCGCGGGTTCGAGAAGAAAGTGGATCCTCTCATTTCACTCGAACCAGTCGAGCACGATTAATTCGTAACTGGTCGGAGGAGCGGCGTCGATAATATATTCCGTCCAACGATTTCGATCGACGCGTAATATGTTACGTGTGGACGATTCGGAGACGAAAAATAAAAATTCACAATCCGCGGATTCCTTTGGAATTTTTCGCGCTCGACGAAGGAAAAACCGCGAACGGCCTTCGTGACTTTTGCAACGAGAAAGTCGCAAACAACTTTCTAGCGACGAAGAAGCGCAACAGCACAAATATCGAATATTTTATATCGAACGATCTTTAATGGTACGTCGTTCACTTACTTTTCGGTAGATCCTTCCGGTAGATCGTAGGGCTCACAGACGCGGTGTCGCGACGCGTCGTGCACGTGGTCTCGCGCACTGATCCTTCACGATCCACGCACCATGATCCAGGTTAGCAGGATTCGCGATGAGCGACGAGGATCACAATTATCACGCGCGAGATCACCGGCTGTTGCAAAACTCTAGAGGCTGGAACGACGAGATCGAGCAAAAAGAAGACGATCGATACGCACTGAACGATCCACAGCTGCCACTTTCGTCGCCGAAGGAACCGTCTTCCGTGGACGCGCTTCTTCTTATAACGATAACAGGGGCTCTCAACTCTCTCTATCGGGCGCCGCGTTATTTATTGCGTGTTTCGACACGTCGGTTCCAAGATCACCGGCGTAAAATCCGCCCGTTACCGAGTTCTCGATCGCCGTACAAAAGAGCGTCCCGGTTCCAGCCACGACCGATACCTCGAAACTCAATACGCGTCGCCTCGATGCCGGAATAGAGGCGCAGAGTCCGCCTCCATCGAACGCGAAGGAAAGTCGTCACAGGGAAATTGGTCGAACGAAACGCACGCTACTCCAACGGTGGCGTCGAAGGTGGGCGAAATTTATGGCGTAATTCCAACGCCGCGTGACTCGCGAGGCCCTAACCTTTTTTTCGACACCGTTTCCCGGGACACGACGATTGACGTGGCTTGTAATCAGGAACATACCAACGGGGACACGGTAACGCGTGTCAGGAAGAATCACGTAAGATCGGAGGAAACGTAATATACATATAATATAATAATAATAAAATATTGCAACCACGGAGGCAGAGAGTTGCGTAAAGAACGCGTAAATATTATTTGTCACCTATTTAAATTCGCTTTTACTATCCTCAACTCCTCGTACGTATAGATAATACATAGAAATAAGATTATTCTTAATTTACAGGTAATTATTTAATTACGTTGCTTAATTTTTCTAACGGAGTTCCCCGTTAATTGCACGCTGATGCTCTCGCTTTCACGCGATTCGGACGAAACGAGTTCTCGATTCGTCGTTCCAGTTTTCGACGTCCGCTTTCTCGGCTGCTTTGAATAGATCTTGACTTTGGTGATTCGTGGGCGTTCCCTGCGCCCTTGCCCGGGGATCGATCGAATCGACCGCGTCGTCGGCCGAGTTCAAAGAGTCACTTTCGCTTTTACGAGTTCGCACGGTCGCCGGGATGTGCTCCATCCTAGAAAAGCGAGCTTCCTCGGCGATTGGGTCGAATGCCTTTACGTAACTTCTGCTCGCCTCTACGTGTTACGCGTATCCACTTCTACCTGTGTTCGTGTGTAACAGTTACACGAATAGCGA